AGCAATTCGCGATGCTCTTCTCTAAGAAGTTCGCGTCCCAAAGGCTTGGCAAGCTCACTGTCTCAACCCTCATCAATTATTGACAAAGAAAGGAAGAGTTGCTTGCCGAATTCTACGATCACTGGAACGCGATCGCATGCAAAGTAGACGGCATATCCTCAGTCGTGGCAGCCGGAAACCTCAGAATATCCACAACCAGTATCGAGCTTAAAAGAACGTTGATAAAAAAGGAAACCACCCCGACATCGTGGTCCGATCTAGACCAGCTGGTACGACGAGCGATCTTGCCGGAGGAGGCACTAGCCACTGATGATCATTCCCAACAAGGTCGCCCTCGAGAGCACCAAGAGCGCGGAGACTCCAGGCGGGGAAGGCGCTCTCCAGAGCGGAAGCCATACTGGAACCGATACAACGACCGCGAAGGCAAGAAGGAAGTGTTCTCCACGGACCGCAAAAGAGGAAGAGAAAGACGAAGAGGGGGAAGGAAACAAGACGCGTCCTCCGGGCAGGAGTGGCAAGACGGAAAGAAGTGGTGCGACTTGCACCAAATCACCACCCACGACACCACTGAGTGCCGAGAATTCAAAGCCAGCCTCAGATATTTGGCGCCGGGCGACTTGCGAAGTCACCTAGAGACAAGGCGCTCACACCGCGATCATTCTCAGGAGACACGCGAGGGATCTCGCAGCCCAGACACGGAGAAAACAAGGAGAACGTGAAAGGAGAGGTCAAGGTCGCCAGCCAGAAACAAGGTCGCCTCCCCCCCAAAGGCTTTCCCCAGCCTACCGACCACATCACAACGACGATGAGGGAATGGAAGTCATCACTATCGCGAGCGGATGAAAGCGGCCCCGGACCGAAGGAGACCGCATAGCTCAGTGCCTCAATGTTCAGCGAAGAACGACAACTGACGTCACCTTCCTACCGTCTGAGTTAGCCAAAGAGGAAAACACGGAGGATCCTTTGGTCATTTTGTTCCGTACCGCCAAATTCAAGGTCACGCGAGCCCTCGGGGATAATGGGAGCTCCGCAGACATTCTTTTTTACTCAGCACTCAAAGGGATGAAGAAAAGCGTCCAAGACCTTAGTCCATCCAACACTAGCCTGGTAGGATTCTCAGAAACCAAGGTCCACATCCTAGGGTCAATTACACTCAAAGTCACCATAGGAGAATGCAGAATCACCAAGACCAGGCCAGTGGATTTCCATGTAGCAGATTGCCCATCGGCGTACAACGCCATTCTGGGCCACGATTTCCTTGCCTCTTTCGAGGCGGTCACATCCACCTGCCATCAAATGCTGAAGTTCCCTAGTGGAAGGCAAATGGTTCGCGTCCGGGTAAACCCAAAGAAAGCCAAAGAATGTTACCAAGCTACCATCGAACACCTCGAATTAGATCTAGTGGATGCCAGAGAAGATGTTCCGCGTCCCGAGGCCGCTGAGGGCGACATAACGGTCGCACTTAAGGAAGAATGCATGGACAAGACGGTTCGTATCTCAGCCCACCTAGGCATAGAAGAGGCTCAACAGCTACTCACACTCCTCAGAGAGTTCCAAGACCTCTTCGCTTGGGGGCCCGAAGATATGTCTGGTGTTCCACGCCACATCGCTGAGCACCATCTTTCGTTCAAATCGAAAGTTCGACCCATACAACAACGAAGAAGACATCTATCGGCCGAGAAGCAAATGGCCATCGAAGAAGAAGTGCGACGGCTACTCAAGGCCGGCTTCATCAGAGAAGTGAAGTATCCTACTTGGATCTTCAATCCGGTCTTCGTACGAAAGGCGGGGGGTGCCTGGAGGATGTGCATCGACTTTACCAGCCTCAATGCAGCGTGCCCAAAAGATGCATACCCCTCCCCCGCATCGACAAACTAATTGAAGGAACCGCCAACCACGAGGCGTTCAGCTTCCTGGACATGTTATCAGGGTATCACCATATCCGAATGGCCGAAGGTGACCAAGAATTAACCGCTTTCATGACACCCATGGGCATCTTCTGTTACCTAGTTATGCCTTTTGGGTTGAAGAACACGGGGGCAACTTACCAGCGAATGGTCGACGCGGTCTTCAAAGACCAGATAGGAAGAAACGTGGAGGCATATGTCTACGATGTGCTAGTCAAGAGCAAGAAGGTCGGCGATCACTTGTCTGACTTAAGAGAAACGTTCGAGACCCTAAGGCGGCGGAATCTGAGGCTTAACCCCCTCAAGTGCGTATTTGGAGCTGAAGCGGGAAAGTTCCTCGGCTTCATGATCACCAAAAGGGGCATAGAGGCTAACCCCAAGCAAATAGAGGCCATACGCGGTCTCAAACTTCCGAAGACGATCAAGGAAATTCAGGCGTTCAATGGCAAAATGGCCGCACTAGGAAGGTTTATCCCTCGATCAGCGGACAAATGCTCACCATTTTTCCAAATGTTGAAAAAGTCAACCTCAAAGCTGCAATGGAACGCCGAATGCGACAAAGCCTTCACGTCTCTGACGAACCAGCTAAGTTCTCCGCCGGTCCTGAGCGCCCCCGTCAACGAAGAGCGACTCTACCTATACCTAGCGGTCTCTGAGTAAGCCGTGAGCTCCGTTCTGGTAAGGCGAGCGCAAGATGGTTCCGACCAGCCGGTCTATTACGTGAGCAAGGCACTCCTTCCAGCTGAGACAAGGTATATGCCAGTAGAAAAAGCAGTCCTCGCCGTAGCCTCCGTAGCAAGGAAGTTGAGACCCTACTTCCAAGAACACCCCCATCATAGTGCTTTCTCATCTCCCACTCAAGAGCATTATGAGGGGCATGGACGCCTCAGGGCGGATGACCAAGTGAGCAATTTAGCTCAGCGAGTACGACATCGAGTACGCCCCGCGGCCGACCATCAACGGTCAGGTCCTTGCTGATTTCATCGCCGAAGGTTTCTCAATCGAGACCGCCCCATCGGATGAACAAAATACAGTCTGGCGCTTGTTCACAGATGGAGTGGCCGGAAAGACCGCCTCAGGGGCGGGCATAGTCATCGAATCACCAGATGGAGCTGTTCATGAGTTCTCATTGAGGTTCAGAAACATCAAAACCAACAACGTGCCTGAATACGAAGCCCTCATTAACGGGCCACGAATTCTCTCGAGCCTGGGGGCGTCCGACGTGCACATATTCTCCGACTCCCTGCTAGTGGTTAGTCAAGTGCACGAAACGGTTGGCGGTCCTGGCCAACCGAGTGAGGGGCGCCCTATCATAGCTGAATACATGGAAGCTTGTCCACGTCCGACGAGACGATAATCAACATGCTGATGCCCTCTCAAAATTGGCAACCGCTATGGATTTCGAGGGGAATCGACACGTCACAGTTGCCAAAGAGGGCGATCTACATGATGCGGTCATGCATATCGAATAAGCTAACGACTGGAGGATGCCCATGATCGAATATCTAGAGCATGACATAGCTCCCCAGCATCCAGCCGAAAGGAAGGCGCTTAAGCGCAAGGCCGCCCGGTACTCAATGGTCGAGGGCCAACTGTGCAAACGGTCATTCTCTGGAGCATACTTGAAATGTCTGGGAAAGGAGGAAGCACGATGGGAACGTGTGCCACCCATGCAGGTCCTCACTCGCTGGAGAGGACGATACTCTTGCAAGGCTACTACTGGGCCACGATCAAGAAGGACGCCTCAGACGTCGTTCTTAATTGTCATGCGTGCCAAGTACATGTCTCTATGCACCACCTTCCTAGCTCAGAGCTGGAAAGCGTGGTCAGTCCATGGCCATTTGCTAAATGGGGCCTTGACCTCTTAGGACCCTTCCCCACGGCTCCTCTCGGTAAGAAATACCTTATAGTAGCCGTCGATTACTTCACAAAGTGGATCGAGGTAGAGCCGCTTGAAACCATCACCACCGCCAGAGTCAAGAAGTTTGTGTTCAACAACATCATGATCCACTTTGGCATCCCGAAGTCGATCGCCACCGATCACGACACTCAATTTGACTGCAAACCATTTGAGAACTTCTGTGCCAGAAACCACATCATATGCACCATGGCCTCAGTAGCCTACCCGCAAATAAATGGTCAGGCTGAGGTGTCTAACAAGCTTATTTTGCAGGGACTGAAGAAGCTTCTCCGGAACGCCAAAGGGGCATGGACGCCCGAGCTCCCGCATTTCCTATGGTCGCATCGCACGACCCATAAGACAGCCACAGGAGAAACACCCTTCGCACTGACATATGGCGCAGAAGCGATCGCTCCTGAAGAGATGAATCTACCCTCTCTTCGGGTTCAGTCATATAACCCGGAGGACAATCACAGGAAGCTGTTGGAGCAGCTAGACATGGTGGAATCAAGAAGGGACTCGACCTTGGAGCGAATCATAAGTGAAAAGGCGAAAGTGGCCGCCTCCTACAACAAAAAGGTGAGACCGCGCCCCCTAAAAGAAGGAGACACGGTCCTCAAACGTGACTTCCAAAAGCGGGACGACCATGGCAAACTCGCCGCTACTTGGGAAGAACCATTCCTCATCGGCGAAAAAACAGGTCCTAACACCTTTCGCCTCGCCACCATGGAGGGCATTCCAGTCTCTAAGACATGGAACGACATGCATTTGAGGAGGTACTACTCGGACGCTTCCTGAAGAACCTCACATCGCAGTGATGATATTTTGAAGAGCCTGGGTCTGCACCCGCTCTTATAGTAGTGTACTGGTAGCTCTCATAGCAAACCAATTTTGCTTAATTAATACACTTGCATGTTTTTCGGCCAAATGACCTGTCCTTCTTTGAGTATATCTATTTGTTCAAACAACCCATACTCAGAAGCGAGTCAACAAAACGCATAACTGCCGGTAAGTTAGATTACAACAATAACCACCAAATAAGGAAGAGCTAGCCGCATAACTAAAATAAAGCTTCAAAATCCGTCACAACATAAACTGACAACAAAGTAGTCATTCAACACAGAAGGGACGCACAACAATCCTAGTAAACTATTGTCTTAAAATTAAAAATAGAGAGCAACAAACACAACTGCTCATGGGTCGGGAGAACCGCCATCATCTTCGCCACCATCTTGCAAAACCGGTTCACCCTCCTCGTCATTTTCGAAATTCACATCTGTGTCCGCCCACGAACTGATGGCGTCCCAGATCTCATTCGTGCTCCAGACCGCCTCTGGTTGCTCCATTCGAAACCAATGACGAATGGCAGCAACCGCATTACCCACAATTGTCTTGTACTTTTCTTTGTCCAAAGCTTGAAATTCACTTGACTCCAGGTAGGCCAGTCCAGCTCCAGCGAGAGCGGTCTCTAGATTTTTCTTCTCCAGCTTCAGGGACTCCACCTCCTGGCGAAGTGCATCATGTTCTTCCAACAACAGCTTCTCCATCTCACTGGACTTCCACACCCGCTCTTGCAACAGATCCCGCTCCTCACGAGCCGCCTTGACCGCTTCCTTCTCTTAATCCAATTCTTGATCCTTCACCTTCAGCCGCTCCTCAATGTCCCACTCCACCAATGGGCGAATTTCCGCCATCAAGGTTTCCCGACCCTCACTCAGGCTCTTCTTCAGCTTGACGATCTCCTCGGACTGACCTTCAACGGTCTTCGACAGGCAGTCGTTGTTCATAAGAATCTGAGAAAACCCCACCTGCGCCTACACTCGCCAAACCAATAAAGTCAATAACCGCGCTTACACAAGAACAAATAATTATACTTAAGCATACGCACTGCGGAGAAAAGTTGGGTGGCGGTCCCAGCCAGGCCCTGCTGCTACCACCAGACGAGGCAGTGTACTCAACATCCATGGCCAGCTGGTCGCTGATGGTGTGAAAAGCGAGCTCCGCCGCTTCATCGTCAGTAGCCGCCTGAAGAGGAAGGTCAATCTGAGCCACCTTAACTAACGACACAACACCCTTGCCTCGATCCTCCGCCACCTTGGAACGCAGAGAGTTAGCTTTTGACCGCTTAGCAACTCCAACAGGAACGCTCTGCTCCATCAACCTTTTACCCGCCCCGCGGGTAGTCGCACCAGATAGAGCCGCAACCTGCACTGGATGCGAGACAGGCATCGCGATCACCGCCGCCACAGAAGAAGGGCCACCGCCCCGCGGATCACTTGCCTTCACGACCACCTTTCTCTTCTTTGGCCTAACCGCATCCGCCAAGGCTCTCAAACCTGGAAGAGGAAAGCATAAGTAAACTCACATGAGAAAATGGAAGCAAAACAAACAAGAAAGTATGCTAGTAACCATAAAAATCGCGCACAAGCTGGTATGCGCTTCCCGCACCACTAGGAAACACACGTAGCTGAACGCGTTCGACGACACGCTTAACATGGTCCTACACTGACTGGGAAGATTGAGTCGAGGAACACCAAGAGTCCTTGGACCCGACCGCATACCCAGTCGGAGGAGCGGTCGCACCAGAATACCACTGACAGAGGTATGCGCTTCTCGCCTGTACCAAGGCGAGTCCAACTTTGGTGCCCTCGATATAAAGCCAATGGCGTTCTTCCGCCTCCCAATCGACAAGCAGTTAGTCGAGTCACGGATCTTGTAAATCAGTAGGAAGGCGTCAAAGGATGGCGTCTCCTTGGCAAGGCTACACGCATAGCAGTACATCACATAGTGAAAGATGATAGTGGGTGACAGGGGGCACCGTCAGGTCGTCCCACATAGCCTCATGGCGTAGAAGTCGAATCTTGAATCGTCAACCGCGACACGCCTTCCTCCTCCTCTGACTCTACCACCTCCAAAGAGGACGAGGTACTAGGGACCGCCTCTGAGCGTACCCCATCGCTACTAACCGCTTCTTCCTCACCCAAAGATCAGCTATCTAATTCTATAGTCCCAAATTCACCTAAGTTATCCCCAACCGCGGAAGATGTTGCCACAACCCCAACTGGTACAGGGTGCGCGTTAGCAAAAAAGTTATATAACCCCAAAGAGCCCCCAAAAAGACAATTGTCTAGTTCTGAACCACTTCCGAGATACAAGTCAAGACCGGAGAGGTTAAACATGCACTCGAAAATGCTTCGAGCTGGAGAATGAATCACACCTTGTACAGTAGGCGCCACATTCCCTGCGGTCACCGTCGTTTTCCTCCCAACTGCAACAGAGGACGATGGCGCGGCGGAGGCTAAGGAGTCTTTCCCAGTATCAAGGGCAGAAGAGGGCGCGGTCCCTGATGCCACGGCAGAGACAGGGTCCACCGCTGGAGTACCCTCACCAGCCGGCGCGTCGCCAGCAGTGGTCGCCGCCCGTCTCACATCGCCGGCCGGCGAACTTCGCTCATCCATAGACATCTGCACTCACAGCAGAAGACCCACAAAGCACGACACGAAAAGAGAAGCCGAAAACTTAATAATGAAAACGGAGAAACAAAGGACAAAGAAGAAAGGTCGCATCCCATAACCCAAGCGAGAGAAAAACTTACCGGAGAACTGGTCGGACTTTATAGTGTCACTCGCCGGAAGACAGAGCCTCTGAATCGCGCAAAGAAAGAGGAAGGAGGAAGAAGACAAATCTTTCTCGCAAATTAAAGCTAAAGTGGCGGAGAAAAGGGCTCCAAACGCCACTTATAGAAAAAAATTCAAACCCCGAGAGGACAAGGGTGACGTTTCGCCTGACTCTGACAAGGCGCCATAATCGAGACGCGCCACGTGGCACATGTAACACAGGGGGGCAGGCCGTTTGGCGGCTAGACCGCCCCGTAGTCGTTCCCCGCATCAGGCCGTCGCGGCCAGGGGCAGACAAGTAACCATGGACCGCAGAACGTACAGCCGCACAGGAGCAGTACGCGGGGTAGCCGCGACAACCTAACGCTTATCACGACTAAGGGGGAAATGTTGGGCCAAGTATAAGGATACGTGGGCCTGAGGTCCATGGTTACAAAGCCCACAGATAAAACAGACCAAGCAGGGGCGGTCTACCCAACACAGCAAGAGAAGACCGCCTGACACTGACGTACACACACGTCAGTGACCGCCCCGACATTATGGACTGACGTCCCTCCAAACAGGGAAAGTTAGACATCCGTTCTGACATCACATTTATTGAGCCTAAAGGCCTCCCAAACCGCCTGACAGTACATTGGGTTAGTATAAATAGCCCCAAAGGGGGCAGCATTTATGGTAACTTCGAACTACTCAACTCTCTCTCTTATTCACTTTACATCCACTTCTCTATCTAACTTAGGCATCGGAGGAGGTCCCAAGATTCCCCTAAGGACCTTTCTTGCAGGGTTTCGGAGACCGCCCTCGACCATCGAAGCCGCACGAGGCCGTGGTGTCTCACACAATCGCCTGGTACTATCCAGGCACAAACAAATACAAAATCTAATTTGATGTTTCACTTTTTGTTTCAAAAACGAAAAAATAATTCAAAAATTGATTTTTTTCTCTAAAAATAGTGCAACAATTGATAAAAATACCACAACACTAGTTATTTTCACTTGAAAATGTTTGATTCCCAAATTAGATAAGGAAACTAGATGAATACATACGCCACTAGCTAGTTTATGTGATCAGTTCCATTTTTTCGAACCAACAATCATGGCAAATTTTTGTCTGAGAGACCGATGGCAAATTGAACTCATCCCGTGGGTATTACCCAACATGCAGTAGCGTAGACGGGATATGGATATCTACTTCTGATCCGTCCTGCCCCGCTTAGTTCTTGCTCATTTTATCTCAATTTCTTCAATATCTGTACATATTTCTCCTGTTTTGACTTTTCTTCAAATAGTTAGATTCGATCTTTCAATTTATTAGACTCAATTACCCATTCTCTTATCACTATTTTTCATTCATAAAGTGTTTTCTCATTCATATTATCATAAATAGTAAAATTTACGTGTACTTTTTTTAATAACATTAAAAATGGATCGACCCGCCCCACTCCTACCGATACAAATTTTATTCTCCCTGACCTGTTACAACGTGGGATGGGGCATGGGTATTGAGTTACCCGCCCCACCCCATTGTCATTGTTATCATCAAAGCGTTCTTCTTAAGCTTGGACCAAGCCAGGTGATGATTTGTGATGATGTTTTGGGCCAATGAGCCATTTAATTTGCGGGTTACCACAAGGAAAAGAAACAATTGGGGTACGCTGGCAAGCTTTTCAAAGATAGCCCAAGTTCGTCCGCGAACTTCAGGCCCATTTGTTTTCCTTGCAGACGTCATTCACCTCCAGCCACAAAACACGCACCGATTCGAGAACCGCAGGTTGGTTCCACGGCTACCACCCGACCCGCAACCCCATCATTGATTCCTTTTGCGCCACGTCATCCAAAAAGCGTCCAAATCAAGGTTGTTAAACCCCTATCGAATCTCCGGTTAGATTCAGACTGATCCGAGTCGAGTTTCAAAATGACCTACAGAAAGTTCCCGGACTGACCCCTAAAGAAGGAGAAGAAGAGAGGGGGAAGAGAGGAAGAGACACGAAGGAAGGGAGATGGTGGGTGAGCCATGGAGGTTAGATTTTTTTTTTTTTTTGAAATAGGTTTGTTAGAGTAGGGTAGTCAATTAGTACGATAGTGTCCGCTTTGGGCCAAACCCGCACGGTTTTACTTTTGGGTGTCCTCTCCAAAAAAGTCTCGTACTAATTGGATTAGGTGGACTCTAATATATAAGAGTTCCTTCCCATGTACAACCGATGTGGTACTTGGATTGTACCATAACAAAGTTTTTAATAGATATATGTAAAATAAATTTTATTTCTGTCATTAAATTTTTAATTACTATCTTATCTACACAATATATAATAGCAGAATGGGGAAAACTGTTGTTCCATTTCAAATTTACTGCAATGAGAGTGAAAGTAGGAAGGACATTTTGGTCTTCACAATTACTTTTTTATTTTATTTATAAAAAAGACATGTATTGGATTCGAACCATGACCACTTTAAAGAATTGCAAGGATCATAACTAATCACACTAAGTAAATTTGTTGTATCTTTTTAAATTAAAAATATATAATAGCATAGAGGAAAAAATCATTCCCCATTTCAAATTCCCTGCTCCAGGAACTTTTGTAGGAATGATAGAATAGAGAGTGTCAATTTTTTTCTCTTTCCTCTACGGAACGGGCCAACTTGCCGTACACATGCGGATTTAGACGGGCCCAAGAGTGTCAATTTTTTTCTTTAAGCCCTTTTATTTCTTAGTGTTAGTAAAATATATATGAAAGGGCAAAAACAATACTTCTTTTTATTGCTAAAAAGAAAAAATTTAACAATCAACTAATACATGGATTCTAATGGGCTAACCACTAACCATAAAATAAAAGAGTGGAATGGGTCTGACCTATACGGGATTTGGCCATAAAGTAAAACAAATGAACATCATGGGGTGGGCATTTTAAAACAAGCTATTTTCTCTAGCATAATATATATTATGCAATTATTTTATGTCTTATTGGCTAAAATATAATGTATTTTAAAGTTATTAAATTGTTCAACCTCGACCAACCCAATTAGTCCAATTTTTATCATTTCAAATATATATTATGTAATTATTTGATATCATAATAATTAAATTATAGTGTATTTTGTAGGGAATCATTTGATATTTGTAAGTAAACAACTAAACAGGAAGATCTATTTGGTTATTTTTAACATTAAAACGATTCTAAACATTTTAAGTTTCTTTTCGAATTTCTATGGTTATATTCCCGAATCAGTGATGTGCAAATGACGAATTGCAGTGATCGCTTTTATTTCACTATTTTTTACTTTCTAATAGAAAATTTAAAAGTAAAGAATAATTAGAGTTTGGCATGGGTCGGTCAAACATGCTGAATTTTAAGTTTTGGCCCGTTTTGATCAAACCCAATTAATAATCACATGATTCCCTGGTACCCGATAAAAATTTCAATCCAAACCAGTTCGGCAGGTGAGTCTATGTTTACCACCATTTTCTAGGGATACATGAATGGTGGTTCCTATCCCAAATAGTGTTGCTGGCTTTTGATTTCTTTAGATTTTATCATGGCCTGACAAAAGCCAGGAAGCACAATGATGACAAGATGAAAGTTTTACAAAGCAAATTAATCGTCCAACGGGCCGAGTAAAAGCTAGCAACGATTGTGAGATGCTCATTTCCCGAAGACCAGCGAGATATATGACTTTTTATTCGATTTTCTTGTATTCGGTTTCTATAAAACTTACTCCACCTCATCATATTACCAAAAATAATATTATTTCACAAGGTAACAAGTATTTAATTTGATTCATAAGACTGGTTTTTGATTTGTTGCATCATTCATGTCTCTTTCCTGCTAAAATTCACTATTTTTATCACTTGTTTCCCAAAAAAAACTATACAACAATAAACTATACACCCCATTACATTATCAAAATTCAAACCTCCCCTTCCCCCGGCCAACTGTCCAGGGCGCACACTAGTTTGTATATTTATTTAGAAAACGTCTAAAACGGCTCAAATCGGCCGGACACCAATCAGACCATTACACCTCAAACCCGTTATTTAACCGGCTCAATAACTTAAACCGGTTTGACAACGTTGGTCCAAATGCTACCAACACGGGCGAGTTATCTTTTGTGGCCAATCACAGGCCCCGCGATCCCCCGCGCGCTCATCTTCCCGCCTGCCACGTGTCCTCACCACCTCCACTGATCCTTTAACAATAATAATAAAAAAATATGCCTCTCCATCACTCTTCATTCTTCACTCTTTGTGCTTCTCCTTTCTCCTTCCTTCTGTCCGTCTCCACTTGTTCTGTCTTCTTCTCCTCTCCTTCTTACTCTGCCGCGAAAATCCTGCGTGGCTCTCCGCAAGCCATGAGAATTAGGGTCTCCTCCAATTGATCGATTCCCGGCGGGACAGGAGGCGGATTATGATGGCCACTCCGACTTCTACTGCAGCTGCTGCTTCCTGTTCTTCTTCGTTCCTATCTCCGAGTACTGTTTCCAAGCGCCGCGTTTCACTCTCCGGCCGCTGTTACGGTCTCAATTCGCGTTCTCTTCGGAATGTTCAGCTCAGCTACAGGTCTCTCCGGCTACGGACTCGAGTTCGAGCTGTCAAGGAAGAGAGTGCCAGCGCGGTGATCGAGGAGAGGGAGATTGAGCTGTTGAAGAAATTGAATGGAAATGGCGCTGCTGCTGGTGGTGGCGGAGGCAAGTACGGAAGTAACGGATCGTTTAGTAATGGAAGTTTGGTTATGGCGGAGAGCGAGGCGAGTGGTGGGAGTAGTAACGGTCGATTGATGAAGTACGTTAATGGGAATGGCGGTGCTTCCGCGGCGGAGACGGCGGAGGATGGGAGGAAGAAGCGGATTGAGGAGGTCGGGAAGGAAGAGGCGTGGTTTAAGCGCGATGGTCAGGCGGAGGTTGAGGTAAGAGATTTGTTAAAATTTTTCGGTTCGTTTGAGTTGGTTTGTCACTTGGTAATGGCGATTGAGCAAGTTTGTTTGGTCGGGGAATGCTGAATTAGGGGCTAGTGGAAACCACATATTGAGCCGTTTATGAATTGCTAGAAATAGTATACTTCATGATCACAGTGAAATTGCCTCTTCAGGTTTCTGTTGCGCCTGGGGGAAGATGGAATAGATTCAAAACCTATTCCACCATTCAAAGAACTGTGGAAATTTGGGGATCCGTCTTTACTTTCATTTTCAAGGCTTGGTTGAACAGTCAGAAGTTCTCTTACAGAGGTCAGGCTTCTCCTACCCAATTTCTATTTTCCTGAACTCTATACTATCTTTCTGAGTTATTCCAGCTTCTTCATGATTTCGTGCCGCCAATGAAAATAAAAAAACAGTGAATAATGCATATTCTGTACTACAAGGCAATAGACATGGTTCAATGTTTTATGATTTTGGTTATGGCTCGAGTTTGCTTGATCTAGACATCTAGTAGCATGGTCTCTCGCTGTTCATCTTCTCATGCTTGAGATTTCTTTCTGATGAGCAGGGGGGATGACGGAGGAGAAGAAAATGGTGAGGAGGAAGGCTTTGGCTAAGTGGCTAAAGGATACTATACTCAGGCTTGGCCCCACATTCATCAAAATTGGCCAGCAGTTCTCCACAAGAGTGGACATTCTTGCTCAAGAATATGTTGACCAATTGTCAGAACTTCAGGTCTGTGGATTGTTGTTTGTTTTTTTATCTGAATGCTCCTTTTACTTGTAAGTGAGAATTTTCTGACCCTCTTTGACACCTTTTCAGTATAAACTATTAACTGGAAATCTTTGGTGAGACTTAAAAATCTTAAAGAAATTGCATGGATGATAATCTTTCCTAATGAGTCGATGCCTTTCTGCAGGATCAAGTTCCTCCTTTCCCATCTGAGACTGCTCTTTCTATAGTCGAAGAAGAGCTTGGAGCACCTGTGGAGGATATCTTTGAGCGGTTTGATTACGAGCCAATAGCGGCAGCAAGTCTTGGTAATCTCATATAATCCTTCCAAACATTTTTGTCCCCAAAATAGTGGAACAAAGACACCCCTCGACTACCTCTTCTGATTTATTAAATGGATGTTCAGGTCAGGTTCACCGTGCGAGACTCAAAGGACAGGAAGTAGTTCTTAAAGTACAACGGCCTGGTCTCAAGGATCTTTTCGATATTGATCTCAAGAATTTGAGGGTCGGTATTGTCAGTGGTGGAACTTTATTTAGGTTATTATCAGACATCAATGGACTTGATGGCCTTCTTTTTCAGGTAATAGCAGAATATCTTCAGAAGATTGACCCAAAGTCGGATGGAGCAAAGAGAGATTGGGTTGCAATTTACGATGAGTGTGCAAGCGTACTGTATCAGGTACTGCCATTTGACTTTGTTGGCCAATCAGTGTTAAATCATCAATAAATGTTCTATTTTTCTTGGTTTCTAGGTCACCCACGATGGTTGATAGCCCTAGAACGACTAGTACTTTTTATAAACTGAGATTTTTTTGCTTTCATTTCCATGCTTGCTGGTCTACACCAACAACTATCTAGTTGAAATTACTGACAGTAGTGCTATTGGGACTAAACAATTTCAGGAGATTGATTACACCAAGGAAGCTGCAAATGCTGAGCTATTTGCTAGTAATTTCAAGAACATGGATTACGTAAAAGTGCCAAATATTTATTGGGAATACACCACACCTCAGGTTTCTTTCACTAACTACGATCAACGAACAAATTCACCACCACCCTTTACCCCCTCCCTCTCTTGATTGATGCATAGAATTCCTCTTTGAAGTTTTCTATGGCTTCTCAATTTCTAGTTTCCTCTGTGTAGGTACTAACAATGGAGTATGTCCCTGGGATTAAAATAAATAAAGTACAGGCTTTAGATAAGCTTGGTCTTGATCGCCAAAGGTTTTCATAATTTCAGCCTTTTAAACTTGATTCGTCATTTTGACAGGATAATGAATTTTAGAGACATGCTTTTTGTAGCATGCTCTGTGGTGAAATATGCTCACTATTTATTTTTATGGTTTGTGCAGGTTGGGCAGGTATGCTGTTGAATCTTACTTGGAACAAATTCTTTCTCATGGATTTTTCCACGCTGATCCTGTGAGTCCATTCACATAGTTTCTAATCTCTTAAATTTGTTCCAACAAGCCAGCTTGAAGGATATCTCTAGCCTGGTGTCAGTTTCAAGCCTTATAATTGTGTCATGTGTCCATGGTCAATTCCATTGGAGAGGATGGGGAAATTGTGGCCAGTTCAGATTGATAGCTCTTTCTTATAGCAATGACAGCTTTATCTTTCTTGTCATCCTCTCAGCACCCAGGGAATATTGCTGTGGATGATGTCAATGGTGGAAGATTGATCTTTTATGATTTCGGAATGATGGGAAGGTATTTATGCATTAATCTTTTTCTTGATATCTGTAAGTATACTACTTGATTCGCTTTTCGCTCTTTTTGACATCTCAGACATGAATTTCTTTTTGGTATTGCCGTAATATAGTATCAGTCCAAACATCAGAGAAGGGTTGCTGGAAGTGTTTTATGGAGTTTATGAAAAGGATGCAGAAAAGGTTTGTATTTCTTAATTGATATGAAGACTCGTCAATTATAGCATAGAGTTCAAACTTTCAACATCACACATGCTCATACCTTTTGTTATCACTTCTGGATCAAGTGCAGATTCTTGATGCAATGGTCCAAATGGGTGTCCTTGTGCCTACTGGAGATATGACAGCTGTCAGAAGAACTGCACAATTTTTCCTTAAAAGGTGGGTTCGCTCAGTTGATAAAAATTCTTCATTTCTGCTATTGTTCAGCTAATTGGACGAGTGCCTAATGAGTGGATGTAGCTGGCTTCTGGTTAACTCTGTCATATAATGATTATCTACCAAATGTTCCAATTTTTTGTCAGTTAAGGTGCTTGGGTAATATATTTGTAGCTGCATATAGCATATTGATTGTGTAATAGATCCTTTGGACATCTCAAAGTTTAGTTGTTAGGAGGCAGTAGTTGTCCATAATGGTTCCTGGCAGTGTTAATTATCCCGAAAAATGTCTATAAAGTGACTAAATTGGTGCCAAAAGTATTTCAAATAGTAATTGGCTTTTTATTTTCCAAAATAATAGCAACCATACAGTTCTAACTTCTAACTAAATGTGTGCAGTTTCCAAGAACGTCTTGATGCACAAAGACGGGAGAGGGAAATGGCGGCAGCAGAGCTTGGGTTTAAGAAGCCTTTAACCAAGGAAGAAAAATTGGCGAAAAAGAAGGAGCGCTTGGCAGCAATAGGTAAGTGTGCATTGCACTCCGTCAGATGAATTATATTATTTTTGGTTAAGTTTTTGCGTTTGTCTCTGTGCGCTAGTGTGTAATCTTTTGTGAATGTTTTATAATTAGCGTGTATTGTGAATTGAAAGGTAAGTTTTTTTCACTTGCTAGTTTTTGCGTTGTGATTGAGCTATGCAAGTTGCTGTTATTTTCCTCCTTGTTTCAGTAGAAAACACTTCGGTGACTCTTTCTATAATTTCTGAACAGGGGAAGATTTATTATCCATTGCTGGAGATCAACCTTTCCGATTCCCTGCCACTTTCACTTTTGTTGTAAGAGCATTTTCAGGTATAATATTGTGGTTAATTAACTCGGTCCATAGTAGTAGATGATTTTATGCATAGCAAATGCCTCATACAAGTAAATTTATTTCCTTCACAGTATTGGATGGCATTGGAAAAGGCCTTGACCCTCGTTTCGACATAACAGAAATTGCCAAGCCGTGAGTCATGTTTGGTTGTCAGTTTCTCACTTAAACTACTTTGATTTTTAGCTTCTAGAAATCTTGGTGCTTGACACATGCGTTGTTGTTAATCCTGCCAGGTATGCACTAGAGCTGTTGAAGTTCCGGGAAGCAGGGGTTGAAGTAGTCGTGAAGGTAAAACTATTTGCTTCTGTCTCACCCCCACTCTGACTGCTAGTTGATTTTGCGGATGTTGTTTAAGGATATCACAATTTTTCGTTGGACTTATTGTATAAGAAATATGAGTGATTACTTATTACCGTACTAGTATTCACGACACGTGTATGAATGTTTGCAGGACCTCAGAAACAGATGGGATAGGCAGTCCCGTGCATTCTACAACTTGTTTAGGCAGGCTGATAGAGTTGAAAAGCTTGCGGAAACTCTTCAACGATTGGTAGGAGTCTCTAATGATTCTGTATGAATGATTCTGGTTTTTAGTTTCATTGGTTTGAAACAGTTTTGTCTGGGCGATATTTTTACAGGAGCAAGGTGATTTGAAGCTTCGAGTTCGAACACTGGAGGCTGAGAGGGCTTTCCAGCGCGTTGGTGCTGTTCAAACTACAGTGGGAAGTGTGAGTCCTTTTACCCGATGATATACTATGATTTGGTTCTTTCAGTTATAGGAGTTAAATGTTATTGAGACAATCCTATTGCTGTTCATTGGGAATGGCTGTGAAATGATTAACTGGAGCAAACATATTTTGTTGCAGCTTTGGTGCCGTTAGATTATTTTGCAACGTTCTCTCACTATCTTTTCTTCTGGCTATTGAACAGGCTGTAGCTGCGGGAAGTCTGGTTAACCTTGCAACAATTTTGTATCTCAATGCTATGAGAGTAAGATAATCCACTATAGTACACTTGTTTCTACTGTGTCCATCTTACTTCTTCTGCTAACGCAACGGTGGTTTTTGTGTTGCAGGTACCAGCTACGATGGCATATGCTGTATGTGCCTTTTTTAGCTTAAAAGTTCTGGTAGGAATTGTAAAGGTGAAGAAGTTAGACCAACGAGAAAGATTAATAACAGGCACTGCTTAAATAGGTAAGCTAGCAGTGGTCCACTCACAATTCGCAGGGAACTGCTTAAATAGTTGAGACCTTTGCGTGTATATGAATTCGTTTCATTTCCTATCCCTCACCGTGTTTTGCAGATGTTCGAATGTTGGAAGGATGGCCAATTTCTGATCGTGACCATTCAGTGCAGTGGGGTGGAGCTCCCCACCATTTTTAAGACATGATCTGCGGGACACTCCCCCCTGTGTAAGTCTACTCACTCCCCCAGTACTGAAGCAACCCTCCTCTTCTGTCTTCTTCCCTCCCACGATGAGGAGCACGTCAGCACTAGACGATCATCGTCCTGTCAAATATTTCGAAATCTTGCTGGGGTCGATCATTTTTGTAGCCTCAAGAGGCCAGTCCTCTGGTAGAAGGGTCTAAGCAGAAGGGTTAGGCTGTTGAGCCTGTTACGAGGGGGGAATAATCGGAATGTTCATAATAACCTTATTCTTAGTATATTGTATATTTGGCGAGGTTGTAGAATGTAGTTGCAACGCCGGAATTATCATCTTATGAATCATGAGATGCTCAGCTGTGTAAGACGTGTGTGTGTGGTGTCTCCCACTGTAATATCTCCATCAATCAGAAATTCGGAATACAGGAAACTGATTCTGTTGTTGTAATGTACTCTCCACTGGGAGAAGAGACTCTGCTACAGTTTATGAAATACTTGCTCGCGATTGGTTCCATGTATGATCATTCCATGAGTCCTCATTTCGTCTAATTTTGCAGCAACAGTGTCCAGTTTTTGCTTCTGTAGCTAGAGAACATGGACAGCATCTTCCCGGGCACTGTTGCTGCTGTGCTACTAAGTATGACAATCATAAGCAAATGATTCTCTCTGCATTTTCTCTACGCAAATCAAAATCGTCTGCATTTTCTCATACCAGTCTTTGAGTAGCTAATTGCATATTCTCATAAGCAAAAGCATCTCCTGGGAGATGTTGGCATGAAGGAACAAAATTTAAGAGCCTCGAACAGCAGTGAAAACTTTCGATACTCTGGGGAAAAAAAAAAAAAAACAACAACGAACACTACAGAGAGCTTATGTACAGTGCCCAGTTGCGTCGTATTACCACAAAAGGCTCGAATCAAGGGTGTGCAATGGACTGTGTGTAGATGTAATCCTCATCAGCCAAGAAGCTCTCCCCTGCTTCGTCTTCTCCCCCTCGCTTCCGGCCATGTTCTGCTTCTGAACTCTTTCTTTGGCACTCGTCTTCTGCCGCAAACATTTCTTCCTCCTTCCCACAATCAGCTTTCCCCTGCATTCACCCCAAACCAATCCACAGTCGTTAGATCGGAAGGTGTATAATCAGAAGAGATATCAAAGAGAGAAGAAGAAAATGGAAAGCAAACCTCATTAGCAGTCTGAACGCCATTGTGGAGGGTAGATGATGAAGGCACAGGGAGGATTTCATTCTGATTCTTGGCAACTACCATCATCCTCAAGTGCAACAGCAACACCAAGACGAGAACCAAATGCAAACTACTGCAACAGCCCCTCATCATATGCAGTAAAAGCTTCTTCTGCCTACTGTTTATGTTATGTGTTATGTTATATATTGCAGTGAGGAAATGGCATGGCAGGAGAGATTCACTGCTCTCATTGCTATTGCAGCACTTTGTTTAGTCTTCCTGTGCTGTTTTTTTTTGTAAGTACAGGGTTTTGTCGTCAACCACAGCAGATGCATGTGAAATCACTTCTCTCATCGCCATTTGCAGCACAACCAATGAATCTCGGTTTTCGTCGGCACCATTATTTATATTTCTTTTCTGGTTAGGAGAAAGATTAGTACTGTTGCATCTGTCTCCTGATTCCTCAACACCCAAGCTCCCAACCCCAAGAGGATGTGTCGGCTGACCCTCACTTTTGATTCGCTGATTTGTTAAAACAACACTACTAATTACACTAACAGCTGCGTACGATACTATACTATACTGCAACACAATATATTTAGTATCGGGTGAGATGCGATATTTGAAGTTTGACAGAATCTAATTTTGATCTTTCTATCTGCCATCCCACATGCTTTTCGCGACACTAGTCTCGACGTGTATCTCTATTGATCTTAATAGCTATCCTTTTCCCCTTTTTTTATCTACTCGTCGAAAATAACTCAGTTGCAACTTAAGTAAGGAACAACGCGATGATCTCAAAGGATCTGAATCTAGTATGGACGAAGATTATTATGGGTACGCAATTTGGTAACCCAACAAGCTTGAAGACTGTGTGATACATCGAGCGCTTAATGCTTTCGTACTAGAAGAGGATATCCTTCACATAGTAAAGGAAACCGTACCGGAGATGATACCGGATTTATCAGCGATAGGATATTTTGTGGTACGACCATGGTTCAATCGTTGTGTACCGGCAAAAATACCGTTTTGTAATTAAAAAATATTTTTTGGTTAAAAAACCGTACCGGCAGATTCAGGATACCGTTTCAGAGTAATACCGGAATATACCGGATAACAAACGTGAATAAACTAAATAGGCATATGTAATATAACAATCAACAAACTGCAACATTACTGAATTAACTACATAATCGTTCAAATGCATGTTTAGGATCGAGTACAAAACAACCAAACAACATTATCGAACCACAAGTTCAAACAACATTCTCAAACCAAACAACATTTCCTTTTCGTTCAAAGTACTAAACAACCAAAATGGTAAAATTCTTATCTATACCCGCCGTGTTCTTGTCTTGAGCAGTCACTAGTCTTCCTAGGCGGCACGTTCTTCTTGAGCAGGGGAGGGAGAGGCGTGCCGGCTGTAGGCTGACCTGGCGGCGCGTTCTTCTTGAGCAGGGGAGGGAGAGGCGCGCCGACTGACCTGAGGAGGAGCAGAGAGGAGCGGTGCGCCGACTGAGGAGGAGCAGCGGCGGAGCACGGAGCGCTGGTGGCTTTGCCGGTCGAGGATTGCTGGTCACGGCCTGAAGGGACGCCGGTTCCTGGTTCGCCAGAGGAGAAGAAGAGCGACGCCGCGACGGAGGTTCCTGCCTTCCTGGTCGCCAGCCGCTGGAAACGTAAGACTACTCTTTTAGTCTTTTTTCGTTTGGCTGATTTAGGGTTTTGAGCATTGGCCTTCGGCCGATTTCAAAAAAAATTTTATGCCAAAAACGACGTTGTTCCCTTCCCATAAGCCTACCGTATCGCCCAGGGTCCGATTTCTGGTTTTACCGGTTCAATCGACTGGTACGATCCGGTTTCCTTTACCATGATCCTTCATAGAGTGGGAGTCCAAACACTACATTTCCATATCAGAGAAAAAACACACTCAATGGGTTTTCATAAGGTTCGAATAATCAAATAGATACAAGAAAAAAAAGGAGCAAATTATCAATATTGCTCTCTTGTGGCAACACTACGATTTTCCAACAATGCTTTTGCGGTCTAAAGCGGGAGCAATAATCTTGCCCGCATGAATTATGTGACCTAAGTTGGGACTGGGTTTTAATAACCCAGATAATAGCACATTATTTTTCTCGTTGCCTACTTGATCAATTAAATGGAGCGACACAATGATACTTTTAAATGTTGCACCTTAGTATTGACTCCCTCTCTTTTAACACTCAGTCTCTGTTCATGAAAATGGGGAGTAAATTGGAGGGATGAATGAAAATTTGAAGATAGTGAAATTATGAGGAAAAAATCACTCTTATGATCTACTTCCTTCCAATTTCTCTCAATTTTTTCTCACAAACACTGTTTTTCCCTCTTTTTTTTTGGTGAAAAACAGGACGCAAAGGGCGCCCTAACCTTTATTACGTGCGAATAAAGCGAGGGGTTTCAATCCCCACTCGGTCAAAATATAGCCAGTACAGCAAAGAAGAAGTCGGACTGTTTATCACGTGCACCCCTAAAGGATACAAATGCCCTATAGAAGCAAGGTGGTCCGCAGCAAAGTTCGCTTCGCGGAAAACATGATCGATCTTGACCGTCCAGTCTCGGTCCAGTCTCCTCCTGATCTCGGCGACCTGGGTGTAGTGCATATGATGCTCGGTCGCGTTATCTATCAGAGCCTTTGCAGTTGCTGAGTCTGTCTGCAGAAGAACTTTCCTGGCTCCTTGCTCCCAGGCGAGATCCAACCCATACACAATACCAGCCAGCTCCGCTCGAGTGATCGAACCCCCTCCAAGGTTCGCTGTGAAAGCTTTGATGAAGCGGCCATCACTCCCCCTCATGATGCCACCACAAGTAGTACTCTCAGGATGATGAATCACTGACCCATCTGTATTGACAGAGACCCAGTCTTGCGCCGGTGGTTGCCAGCCAATTAAGCGCCCCTCTCAGGTGCCCCCAACCCCGAATATGTTTTCCTCCTTCTCAAGAGATTTGAGTATCTCGTCCCGGAGCTGCTTTGTGTGAAACTGGATCTGTGTATGGGTTCTCAGCTCGCCTTGGAACACGAGGCCATTCCGATTCTTCCACAATAGCCAACAGGTTCCTGCAAATAGTGTACTGTCAATGACATTGCTACGCCCTGAAAGATAATACAAAGTCCACCTTTGGGCATTCGGCTCGAAGAAACGAGAATCGGGTTCGTCGTCAATGATATCCGCCCACGTAGCTCGAGCAAAGGGGCAGTCCCTTATTACATGAAGTGTCGTCTCCGGTCCCCCTCCACAAATCCTGCGGCTGGTGTCAGTAGTGAGGTGTCGCCGGCCTCTCTCCGCATTGGTGAGTAGTCTGTCATGGTTCATCAGCCACAGGAAGGTCCTTACTCGTTGTAGAGTTGGCGTTTTCCACACCGAGCGCCAGGTCTGTTGACCAAGACTGGGCGCCTCCGTGTTGTCCGTCAACTGATAGGCCGAGCGAAGAGAGAATTCGCCGTTGGGGTTGAAACGCTATACACGCACGTCCTCCGCCTCTTCCGTCGGGATGGGATGGAGCAAGATTTGCGAAACAAGAGGTTGAGGTAAGTAATATAAGAGAAACTCAGAATTCCACTTACCGTTGAGGACGAAGTCTACGACAGGCATGTCAAGGAGCTCCGGTGGAAGTCCCTGGGCGTGGTTCTTCAAAATGGTTACATCGTCGATCCACCGGTCACTCCAAAACTTGGCTGTTCGCCCATTTTGGACGTTCCAGCAGGTTGCCTCATCGAGCAAATGCGACACCCTGATCACCCCCCGCCAAAGATTGGAAAGCCGACCCTCGGTCAGGAAATGGGTCCCCTCTGCTGTTCGCCGAGAGTATTTTGATAATAGGACTTTGGCCCATAGCTCCTTGGGTTTGGTAATCATCCTCCATGCAACTTTTAACATGTAGGCTTCATTTGTCCTGGTGGCGTCTCGGAGCCCCAAACCCCCCTCGTCCTTGGGTCTGCACACCGTGTCCCAGTCCACGAGGTGTATCTTCCGGCCTTGTTCCGTACTGCCCCATATAAAAGCACGAATTTTCTTGTCAATGTAGTCCCGTACACTCGCCGGTAAGAAGGAAGTCTGCATCGTGTAAGCCGGGAGGGAAGCCAACACAGACTGTGCTAACGTTATACGTCCCGCAAGGGATAGTGTAGCCGCCTTCCACCCCGCCAGCCGCTTATCAATCCTGTCTATAAGATCTATAAAGGTGGCTTTCGAGACCCTGTCGTGAATTACCGGCACCCCCAAGTACCTTCCCAGGTTCGCAGTAACTGGGATTTGGAGATCATCGCTCAGACTGTGCTGGCATGCAGCGGTGGTATTTGCCGAAAAAAATACCCGGGATTTTGGCCTGCTAATCTGCTGCCCTGAAGCCTCCCCGAATTTCTCAAAGCATGCGTTGATCTCCTGAACTTGTGCCCTATTCGCCTCCCCAAAAAGAATGAGATCGTCGGCGAAGAAGAGGTGGGACAGGGCTGGTCCGTCCTTTGCTAACCTTATCGGCTTCCATCGACCCGCTCTAACTGCATCGTCAATGATATGTCCCAGCCTTTCCATGCATAGAGTGAACAGATACGGTGAGAGAGGGCAGCCTTGTCTTAACCCACGGGATAGTTGAAAGCTTTCAGTGAGGCCTCGATTCCATTGTATCTGCATAGAAGCCGAAGAGATGCAAGCCATCGTTAGATCCACAAATTTATCTGGGGCCCCCGCTGCCATCAAAGTATCTCTGACAAAACTCCATCTGATCCGGTCATAGGCTTTAGCCAAATCCACCTTCAAGACCATTCATCCACGTCTGCCTTTTCGGGCTCTCATCGAGTGAATCACCTCCTGTAAAATGCAAATGTTATCTGTGATGTGTTGCCCAGGAACGAAACTGGTCTGTGTTTCATGGACAAGGGCTGGCATGAGGTTTTTGAGTCTCTCAGCTAGGCATTTGGTGATCGCCTTATACGCCATGTTGCATAGGCTGATCGGCCGAAATTGGTCAATACTAGTGGGTTGCTGGATTTTCGGAATGAGAACAAGGATTGTTGAGTTAATGACCTTGATCTTTTCCGGGTTACTCCAACATTCGATGACAAAATTTGTCAGCGATTCGCCCACCGTTTCCCAACATCTCTGGAAGAAGATAGGTCCCAGACCGTCTTTACCTGGTGCTTTGAGTGCACCCATCGCCTTAATCGCTGCATGAATTTCTTCCATATATGGCGTGTGGTTAAGGGGCTGCCACCTAGATTCCCCCAGGGAGGGAAAGTTCGCTTGCAAGGGTGTGAAATCACCACCTTCATCTTGGTAGAGCCCACTGAAATAGATTCGCGCCATTTCCAACAGCAGAGCTTGGTCCTCAATCCAATTACCGCCGCCGTCCTTAAGCATGGTGACTCGATTTCTGCTTCGCCGGCGGAGAGTTCTAGAGTGGAAATACTTAGTATTTTTGTCCCCAGAGCTTATCCATTCCAGGTGTGATTTCTGGCACCACAGGAGCTCCTCCTGAAATAGAACCAGATCTAGCTCTTCCTGAGCCTGCTGAAGACGGGCATCAGTCCCTGGGTTGCCACCCGCTTGTTCCAATTCCTCAATCCGCCGAAGTAACTTGTCCTTCCTTCTTGTTATATGACCGAACGTGTTCCTGTTCCAGGCCATTGCATCTCTGGCAAACGCCTCGGCCGATTCTGTGAAGGAATTTCCCCTTACCCATGCCTCGTCGGCCATGTTACGAAAGCCTTCGTGAGTCAGCCACGCCGCCAGGAAACGAAAAGGTTTGGGTCCGGCAGGTGGGTGAGTCGCCGCCATGGAGACAAGAAGAGGGCGATGGTCGGACTTCCTCATTCGCGGCAGGTGTTTCACCACAGTCTCTGGGAAAGTGGAGACCCAGAGATTGTTAGCCATACCCCTGTCAAGTCTTTCCCGGAGCCCCGTTCTAAACCAAGTATACGCAGGTCCTTCAAATCCCAGGTCCAGAAGTTCAGTGTCTTGGATGGCTTCTTGAAAATCTCGAATCCTGGCAGCATCAAAAGGGGGCCCCCCTAGCTTCTCCGAAGGGCTAATAATGGAGTTGAAATCGCCCACGAGAAGCCAGGGGTGCTCCATGTCCTCCGCCAGCCGCCTAAGAAGAGCCCATAGATCACGTCGTTGCATGGGGCCCGGGCTCCCATAAATTGCTGAAAGTTGCCATGCACTATCCTGGGGTTGTGAGCCCTGCACCTGCACATGGAGGCATTGTTGGTTAGAATCAATTTTTGTAATGCTCAGGTCGCAAGAATTCCATAAAATCCAAATTCCCCTAGAGAAGCCTATTGCATCTACGATAAGTTCCCTATCGAAACCCATTTTACGAATAACATCAAGAGCGCGGTTCCCACTAATTCTGGGTTCCACAATAATCACTATGTGCGGCTTGGACTTCCTACGATACTCACGGAAAGCTCATAAGAAATCTTTGCCCCCAGCTCCCCTACAATTCCACGAAAATTTTTTATAATCCATAAAAATAAGTGGAAGGATAGGTAACTCCCTTTGATCACGAGCTCGGCGGGAAGGTCCCGTCGATTTGCATTCCCGAAGAATTCAACTTCATGATAACCCTTGTGTCTGTTGGTATCGTTGGGCCTTCGCTCGGACTGAGGTCTGGCGGTCTGTCTTTCACCCCGTCATATGTCGGGGTCACGGCCTCCCTGTTAAGGTCGGTTTCATCATCGTTCCTATGGAGCATCGGGGACTGCTCACTGCTCCCAGGATTAGTTCGGGTAGTATCTGCTTCCTGATGTGAACGTTGAGACTGGGAATCATTCGTTTTTCCCGCCATTTCCTCACTCCTGTTCAGACTGGGGGTAGAATGGTGGCCTGCCGTAGACGCGATGGTTTCCTTCTCGGTTCTCGCTGGTACTCCCTGCTTGGACGTCCGCTTTGTATTTTTGCTTTTGCTGACCGACTGTTGCTGCACAGGGTTTGGGATCCTATCAGTGGCTTCCCTGGGTTCCGTATCCATCTGTAGAGTTTCGTCCTCCTCTAGAGCTGCAAACCTTGATCCCCCAGCGTGGTGTTGTTGCCCTTGATCCGCTTTTCCTCCCTTCTGGTTAGGAGTGGCCCCTTGTTCCTTTTTTTGGGTTCGAGGTCTGCGTTTTGCAATCATCCACTCCCCGTAGACGGGTTCAGTTTGAGTAGGTGCTGGCGAGGACGCCCTATCGGTATTGTCATCTTCCATTGGTGTTTGCGTCATGATACAAGCGCATCCCCTCTTTTCAGCGTATGTTCCACAGTTCAAGCATATATTATCTAACCCTTCGTACTGGATGAAGTACTTTTTGCCTCGAATAGAGAATTTTGACAGGAGGGGTCGGGTTAAGTCCACTTGAACGCAAACCCGGGCATAGTCGCTGCGAGCCGCCGTACGGGTGGCTTCGTCAATACGGACAGGCTTTCCAATGTGTCTCCCAATCTTCATGACTGCCTCCTGATGAAAGTACTGGATCGGTATGTCCAGAAGCCTCGCCCAGACCAGCGTCGACGAGACTTCGTGGTTGTATGGGTCAAAGTCCTTATCCCACATGTGCACCGACAGGTAGTTTGGTCCTATCATCCAAGGTCCGTTCATGACTGCCCTATCGTAGTCTAGTCCACTCGTGAATCGAACAAGAAAGTATCCATTTTTCATGGATGTTACTTGGATCCCTCCTGCCTTTGCCCAGATCGCATTCAGGCGGATGGACACAGCCGTGTATGACACTGACCGACCTAGGGCTTTTACGATGAGAGCTGATCTTAGCTTGCGGCAGAAGGACCTCTCTTCTGCTGCGGTGAAATAAATCGGCGGGCAGGTCGAATCCATTTCCCCATCGAAACCCTCCTCCAGGCCATCTTCGCGCATCGCCGTCGCCGCGTCTTCGCTGTCCGAGTCGGCCGTGTACCACTCATCCATACGAATCTCCCCTCCAAAGAGTCTGCGCGCTGCTCCCGTCCCTTGGGACCAGATATTTGGTCTAGGGCTAGACGGCGGGGATTTCCTAGCCGTATCCTTCCCGCTGCCACCTTCATCTTCCAGCACGGTGTTGGTGACCGGAGCCGTTTGCTTCGCTTTCTTCTTCATATGTTGCGCCTCCCTATCGCCTTTAGGGTTTGGGGAGGACGTTTCCGTGGGTGGCCTACGTTGGCCAGCAGTAGCCTCAGGCAGGGGGGCTGAGAATGGCTTCCCCCGGCCGGCGGCACGACGTCCGCCGACATCTCTTGCAGAACCCTATCTCCAGTCGCCGATATTCCAAGGTTTCGCCCTCCGATAATTACGGAGCAAAACAAAAAATGGACCCACTATTTTTCCCTCTTTGATGAACCAAAAAAAAAAAAAAAGCAAATATTGCCTTCAGCCCACGAGCCCAGTTCTAGTCGAGGCCTGCTCCAGCCAAAAAGCCCAACCTAAATCGCTTACCGGGAAAATACTGCCAGTTTGTCGCCGGCCCATCATCCATACCCATCATCTCGGGATCGTCTCCCGGGAGAAACAGCACCGCAACTCTTTTCCATTCTTTCGCGGTTCCTTCGTCCGTACATCAATGGACCTCCCCCGCTCCCCCGTCCGCTTCACTGAAATTGCCTTCTCGAGTAATTCTGCTTCTTCTCCCCGTTGCTCCTTCTTCAGCTCAAAATTCCAGGCTTCACGGCGATTCTTATGATTCCGTTCATGTGAAGTTCATCTCAAAATCCTCGAGCTCTTGTTTGCGACGTTTGGTTGCTGGGAAAACTGAATCGAGTAACTCCATCGTGGTTTCTTAGTTCAGAAATTGCTAGCTCTCTGTGATTTTATGCTGGACTGAAGAATTTTAGTTAGGCGAATTAGTGGAGGGAGGGGGGAAAATGGGGTTTGAAGAGTTCGAATCCATTTTCGGCGAACCGAGAGCAGAATGGGGCAAGAGCTCCGACCTCGGCCGTTCCGCTCCCCTCCGGAGATTCTTGATGCATGTGTTTGCTCCAGACTACTATCACCTTAAGATTCAAGCAAGCGATTACAACTCCAACACTTTTGAAGCGAATAAGTCCATTTCCCAGCTGGAAGACTTGGTAAGCCTCTTGTGGAATTTGATTTTCCCTTTCTTCTTTTCTGCGCTTGAGAATTGATTTCGTGTCGGCGGTGTTCGTCATTCCCCCCCCCCCCCCCCCCCCCCCCCCCCCGGTTGTTTTGGCAGCAAGATAGCATCGGAATTGGTGGCTCATGGTCTGAGTTTGTGGACTACTTTGTATCTTCACTTAAATCTGAAGATATCAAGCTTGTGCTGGAGAAGCAATCGGGTGGTTATGGTAACTGAAACCCCTCTATTTTCCCCATCAAAGTGGAATGAGGCGAAACGAATTTTAGGTTAAATAGTACTCAGAAGTTTCAGTCAAGCTGATGATCTATGTGTGCTTCTGTATGTGGTTGAACTTCTTTTGGTTCAGGTGATGCATCTGCAAGATTGGTTTCTCAGAAAACAAAAGGAATGCCTTTGATCTCCATTTCTCTCAGGAGGGTTTTAGACGGTGATGCAAATGATGTCATGGCAGATATCTCTTTTGGGCTCTTCAAGGCACTCAAGCGTTCACCAAAGATGATGGTACAAGGTGAGTTAATTATGGGAATCACTGGTTTTTTCTTCTTTGTCGGACTTGTTTTGTGATTTTGCGATTCTTTCTGCTACTTGTTGTATATGTTGGGGGCTAGTTGATAGTTACATCAAGTAATGAAGATTTGATTATGTCAGTGTGAGGTCTATTTGGTATAGAAGGATTACGAAATCGGTAGCATCAGGGAAGTTAGGATGCATTGTTTCGTTCGAATTTTGAGTTGATGGTGTTTATTTTATTTTATTTTGGTGGTTTTCCAGGGGAAGGGTATTCTTCGCAGTTGATGAAAGGAGCAGCAACAGATGAGGTATGGGGTTTTCAGCTTTTCATACATTATGTTGATTTCTTCTCAGAAATCAGTTCATTAACGTATCAGTTCATTAAAGTATCTTATGAAAGCTAATTTTAGTCAACAAATAATTGCGGATAACATCTTGCTTGGTGACTGCCACTCATTATGCTTGCATTTAATTTGATCCCATGTCGCCCTTTCTGGGTTGTCAGCAAAACAACCAAATCCAGAGTCAATTGGAGAAGAGGCAGAAACTGGGAAATATGGATGCTTTCAACAAAGGTGTTTCCAGCAATGGGTCACATAATTTGCCTGGTAAGCATCCGTCTTTACTGCTAGTTGTGATGGTTGTGGCACAACCAGCATCTGCATTGAGATGTATGGGGCTACAACAAGTGCATCTTCTATACCATTAGCATGTAATCTGCTGTGTATGCTTCACTAGGACGGTCTCTTTGGACTTTGGTCTGCCGAATTAAGTTGATTTCTTTCTGGCAATCAGTATAACTCCATTCGAAGTGATCCTTGAATTCTTCAAAATATTGCAACATGATTGCCTTTTCGATAAGTTCACTTTCAAAATTGATAATAGTCCTTGCTTTGCATTATCTTGAACTAAGATCTTAACTTCATTGCAAAGCTTAATACTAGGAAATTCTTAGCACGGAGGGGGAATATTCTAATTCTTGTCATTCCTCCAACAGACAAGGAACCAGCTCGAGCGACTGGAACACCAAAGAAAGCCATCAATCGTGTCGTGCCAGCACATCGCAGGTACTTTCTTAACTTTTGACTATAATTTCCCTGGTTTGGACTTAGCATTAGCAAGACAGTTTCTTGTATTAGTATCAACAATATGCGCTATATACATTTGTGCTCAGGACAAGAGTAAGGGGTGCTCGTATAGGCGATGCTGAAGATGATGACGCAGAAATTTGAAATAGCAACCAGAGGATTAAAAGAGTAATAACTCCTAACTAAACTGTATCAGACAGCTGCAGGTTTTGAATGTTAGTTTTTGTACAAAAGAAATTCTTGGATTGCAGGCAATATAAATTGTAGGCTTCCGTTGTCTCTATTTAATCCAAATTGTACTTTTCCTATCTTTTCATTGTTGGAATATCTATCCTGTTGCCTAGAACTACTCGGATTCTCCCGTCCCTTTGGTGTCTCGTTCAAATCAATGGATTCTACTTGAAGCAATATGATTGGGCATAACGATTGCCAGTGACAAGGGTGGAGTAGGGATGAGAATTTTGCCGATTTGATCAAAATTTTACCCACCATCTGAACCCGACTACCGACTTATGAGAGAAAGAAGTGAGTTGGAACGCTCAAAGGTCTCGCAACATCCAACTTTCCGAAAGATAACTCAAAACACTAATACCTGATGCACTCACCCAAAAAATTACTCCTCAATTGTTTACGGTATCCATCCCCAAACCGATCACAACGAGAAACTCCGGTGTAGTAGGGTCGAGCGCGAGACCAGCCGCCTTCTTTTCGACAGTGAAGACACTGAAGAACAGATCCTGCAAAACCCTAATCGACAAACTGACCAGCCAAGTGAAAAGCAAAGAGTTTGATGTTTGTTTCTCGGCTTATTGTAACAGAACTAGCTTATTACCCGGCCCGTTGGCCGGATTACTGTATGTTACCCACTTGTGGAATGGGAGAGAAAGCAAGTGAGAGTGAAGGGATTGTGATTCCACTTGATTAGAACCGACCCACTAATCTGATTCTTCCCGACCCGCCCCAACCTAAAGGGTCAGAAAGAGTCAATAAGAAAATACGAACAGAGAGAATTAGTAATATATCTTGACTCTTCAGAAGTGGGTCAAACAGGATCAATGTTGGGTGAGGGCAATTTTTAGCGCTAAGCAGAGTTCTGGGTTGAATAACTTTACTTAGTCCTAGAAATTGGTGCTGATGCTGACTGCAGTTTTTATCATACCATCATCAATCATCGTTGAATTAGTCCTAGGCATCCCTCCCCGTTGTCGGTCTGAATTTTAATGATGGCTTCATTCCTTGCACCAGCCATATCGGCGAGTTGTCATCTCGAGCATGATTTGCCTATGTACAAATGATACAATTAGAGTATGAAACTGATATCAAAGAAAAGGAAAAGAGAATTCTATCACATGCCAATAAATACACACATAATAGTTGAAGCTAAGTGAAAGTCATTACTCGCACATCAATTCTCAAAAATTACAGACTAAACAATGGCTAGAATGGCATTGAAACTACCAAAAATCATGGACGAAACAACTTGTCAAATTAAATAATCCTTATACTGAAACTACCTTCTAACTTGAAATAATACATGATCACAGTTCATAGCACTCTTATCACTATGAATTGGTTGCAGCTCGTCCTTATCACTACCTCCCAAGCTCAATTCAAACAGAATAGACACAGTTATGTAAGATAACCATATCCTTACTGATCATAATTCCTTTCTTCACTCCATTTTTGTCGGAGAAAAGAGTTATCCCCCTCTCATGCATTTCCCTTTCCCCCTCTCTTCTCCCTCTTCTTCACAAACCGATCCCTAAACCAGCAACAACAACACAAAAATAGCCTTCGCCTCTGCCATCTCCATCTATTGAACGCGTTGGTGGCAAGACAGGACTGCAGAAGCAAAATTTTCAAAAATCAAACTAAATTTTTTGAAGGATACTCAACCACGAAAAAAGAGTAAAGCAACAATGCTAATAGTTCAGATGGTTGGTTTTGATGTTATACGTTGCTTTTGTTCTGGTCTCCAGTGTATCAACTGCAACAGAGATGTTTCCTCCAATCATCTTTAGTGCACGATTTAGAAGTAAGTCCTCTTGTTTGTGTCAAACGGAAACATTCATGGGTTCTTAACTCCCCTGTTAGTGTAAATGCAGCAGCAGCAAAGAAGTTTGACAACACAGCAAGCACCCAGGCAAAATGATACAATGCAGTAGGTGATATGTGTCTCGAAGGTTTTGAGTTACTAAAGTTCATGTTAAAAATAAATATGAATTAAAATGGATTATTCTATTCAGCAAACATCCCCTCTAATCATACAAAGATCAGATATCCAATTCACAAACAATTAAGCCATAAAAAATCATCAAACATCCACCACCTTTGATTGCCTAAATTTGGTTTTTCGCAAAGTTATGGACTCTTAAGGGTAACGTTCATGGGTAGTCTGTTTCATAACTCTAGAGAGCATAGTAAGCAGCCACCAACCAGACACAGTGCGGTAGGCGAATATGATTCTCAATTCACAATTTCTCACCACCGGAAGTAAGAACAGACCATAATAAGCGTAGCGTTCATGGGTGGTCTGTTTCATAGCACTACTACACAATTTGTTAAAAAAGAAAGAAAGGTATTTAGCATCACGACGGAACAACTTTTACAGGCCAACAACGACAACATGCTGCAACCACCAGAACTGGTATCACAACTCATAGGGAAAATCAAAAGATTTACTCTCAAATTAAGTAGTTACAACATCGAGCAATCGTCAAGCACATACACCATCACAAAAGTCACAGAACCTGATTCACAAAGCATTCAAACATTTGAGGACATTTCTGCAAAGGTACAACTTATATGTCTTTTTTCCAAGCCATTTCCATCAACATGCTAGTAAATTTGCAATGCATAAAACAAACAGGCCAAAACTTGAAATTCAACCTGTTTGACCGACCCATGCCAAATTCTAATTATTCTTTACTTTTAAACTTTCTATTTGAAAATAAAAAATAGTGAAAGAAAAGAGACGACTACAATTCGCCATTTGCACATCACTTATTTGGGAATAAAACCATATAAATTCAAAAGGAACTGAAAATGTTTAGGATCGTTTTAATGTTTAAAATAACCAAATAGATCTTTATGTTTAGTTTTTTACTAACAAATACCAAACGATTCCCTATAAAATACACTATAATTTGATCATTATGATGTCAAATAATTATAAAATATATATTTGAAATGATAAAAATTGGACTAATTGGGTTGGTCGAGGTTGAACCATTGAATAACTTTAAAATACATTATATTTTAGCCACTAAGATATAAAATAATAGCATATATATATTATGTCAGAGAAAATAGCTTGTTTTAGAATGGCAAACCAATGATGTTCATTTGTTTTACTTGATGACCAAATCCCATGTAGGTCAGGCTCATTCAACTCTTTTGTTTTATGGTTAGCGGTTAGCCCATTAGATACCATGCATTAGTTTATTGTTAAATTTTTTATTTTTAATAATAAAAAGGAGTATTATTTTTGCCTTTTCATATATATTTTATCACCACGGAGAAATAAAAGGGTATAAAGAAAAAAATTGACACTCCTGGACCCGTTTAAATCCGCATGTGTACGGTAAGTTGGCCCGTTCCACAGAGGAAAGAGAAAAAAAATTGAAACTCCCTATTCCACCATTCCTACAAACGCTCCTGGAATAGGAAATTTGAAATAGGGGAAGAGTTTTTCCCACCCTGCTATTATATGTTTTTAATTTAAAAAGATACAACAAATGTATTTAGTGTGATTGGTTATGATCTTTGCCTTTCTTTAAAATGGTCATGGTTCGAATCCCAGTATGTATCATTTTTAATGAATAAAAAAAGTAATTGTGAAAACCAAAATGTCCTTCCTACTTTCACTCTCATTGCAGGAAATTTGAAATGGGGCTCCCGTTTTTCCCTTCGGTGTATTATATTATGTGTAGAATTGGGTCTAAAATATGTTTAACTGAAATGACAGTGGGCTTAGAGCCCAACCGTTTGTTTCCGAGAGGATTGGGCTTGGCCCTACTCTACCAGCTAAGCCTGCAGGTAATTTCTCTTCTTCCTTGAACAGCCGAGATGAATCCCCTGCTTCAGAGCTTCTCTGAACCTGAGCAATTCAAGATAGAAACATAGCACCCAACAATCAAGATGTAAAGTAAATGCAGAGCACACATACTTTTACGTGGTTTCCGATATTGGGAGAATAAGTATCCCAATATCGACTAATCCACGGTAGGGATTTCTCTTCTTGAGAATCCCTACGTAACCACTAGAACGAGTTCCTTGTTCTTGTTGACACTAACCGAGCATGATCTGATCAGCTCCCTGCTTGACAGTCTAGCTCTCTTAGATGAATAATCTCCCCGATCACACACCCAGAAACACTCGCTATTCTCCCTGATTAGCTTACTAAGGTTCTCAATCAAAAGACACAGATTACACATAGCACTCTGCTTTTAATTTCTCTCCCAGAACAGTGTCCCTCGCTTCAGTCTGTTTGGTCTTTTATATTTCGCCTTTCTCGAGCTAGCCGTTGCAGAATGGTGATTTGATTGCCTGTAAATCTGCTTCCGCTTTCCTTCCTTGAGGATTACCATATATGACTTGATTGCTTCACTGATTCTTTCCTCATCGACAAACTTCACTCAACATCCGGCAACGAAGAAGAAGGGTGGGATAACTGGAGCGAGACCAGGGGATGATTACGAGCCATTGATGCTGACGAGGGCGCGATGCGGGGCTAGGTTGGAGTGGAGAAAGATAGATCAACTAAATCGCATGTGCATGTAAGAATTCGGTTTGAGTTTCATCTCAGTGCTAATCAAGGAGTGTAAAACTGTGCCGGGAAAAATCTACGTCCAAGTATTTTGTGTTGAAATAGTGGTTCAACACTTCAACCTTTCCATATCGCTATTGCATACAATTTATCTTCCACTAAAAAGTTTTTTTGGTCTAACCGTTAGTACGGCAAAGATTTGGCGCCAACAGATGTGCTCTTATTTGATTGGATTTTGACCGAACCGAATAGGTGTTCACCCTATATCATGGTAGATGCCTCTAACAAGATTTGAATAGCATAAGTAGTCTCCGCTAAGTATGTATGGGTCACTTTATCCAAAGTTTTTGGGCTTTTATGATAGCATCAAGTCGTGGATTTTTTTTATTTATCCAAAGTTTGTGGTAAATCTTTGCATTTTTGGATTCTTTCCCTTCCATAAAAGTGGTCAATCCGGTTTAGTTTGTTGGCTCATTCGATCAAGTGAGTTGAAAATTAATAGTTCGATCGCTTTAGCTCTGATTTATAAAAAATATGATAATATTGTTCATACATGCATATATGAAATATATCACATCTCATCTAACATATGAGTAATAACACCAATATAAGGTCGTTTGGATGGAGTATTTGTATGAGTTATTTGGGTTCAAATAACTCATAATGAGTTATTTGGATGCAAATAACTCGTTTGGCAGCGTTTTACTGAAATGAGTTATTTGGACAGTGAGTTATTAACCAATAACTCAAAACGAGTTATTTGAAATAACTTATACTCATGTGCTATTTTGAAATAACTCGTTTTATCACTATGCTTTTACCAAATACCACATGTCAAACACCACATTTGTATGGTTGAACCAAACGAGATACTTTATTTCAATTACCACTAAAATAACACTGAAATACCACATGAGCAATAAATGGGTTATTTGACACTACAAATACCACATTGACAATTAACTTATCCAAACGACCCCTATATTGTAATTGGATCCAATATTTAGTGAAAACTCATTCACACTTATATCACATCAATATTCAAAATCTTAAAGGTTCAATTCGAATTTCAAAGACATGATAAGACAACAAGCAAAATTGAAGAAAAATGAATTTCATAAGACAAAGAGTAAAACAAAGCTATAGAATTTTCAACCCGATAACCTTGCAATTAGATTCCTCACTAAGTCAGGATCAAAATGGGTCAACTGGACTCCGCCTATTGACAACCTTGCCTTCAGTCATGGTTGTCACACCGGTGGCATGCCACCCGGTTGAACCTGGTTCAACCTGTGCCGGTCATGAAACCGGCATGACCGGTATGATTGACTTACGCATTTTAAGTAAAATGACATCATTTTAATGAATTTAATGAATAAAAAATTTATTTTTTATTCATTTTATGAATGTAATAGTTAAAAGTTAATGATATTTGTTGGATTGTAACTAAATTGTCCACAAATATGTTTGATATATGATTAAATACATTGGATATTAATTGTTTTCACATTTTTTTAAACCGGTATGAACCGGCACAAACTGATTATACGACCGGTCGTACTATTCCACTTGCCAAACCGGCACAACAATATAAACCGGTTTGACAACCTTGCTTCAGTCTCTCTTAGAAAAGAGGACGGACAACGGAGGGGTTGTGAGTTGTGAGTGGAGGCGGACTGTAGAAAAGTAGAAGCGAGAGAGAGGAAGCGGAAAGGATCGCAAAGCAGAAGCCATGAATGCCCCCGATCGTTACGAGCGATTCGTCGTACCCGAAGGCACCAAGAAGTATGTATTTCTTCAAAATCCCTTCTCCACTCTCTCTCCCGAAACCCCACTTCCCTTGAGTCGTACTGTAATTTCTCGTTTGCTGTTCTAGGGTTTCATACGAGAGGGACACCAAGATCATCAATGCCGCCTCCTTCATTATAGAGAGAGAGGAGCACACAATCGGCAACATAGTCCGCATGTAAGCTTGTCTCTTTTCCCTCTGGAGTTGTAGAAAGCTTCTGTCTTTTCCTCTCTTCTCTTTACCTTGTCTTGAGCTCTAATGGTTTCCTTCTCTTTATGGTTGGTTGGTTGAGCAGGCAGCTTCACTTGGACGAGAATGTTCTGTTTGCCGGCTACAAGCTCCCTCATCCTCTGCAGTACAAAATCATTATCAGGGTGAGTTCGTAGTTGACCATTTAGAGGAAAGATTGTGCCTTTCATTTCTCTTCCTCGTGGGTTTAGGGTTTGGCTTAATTAATGGGCAGAGGAGGGAACAGGGGTGCGTCGAATTTCTGAATCCATTTTCTGTTCACAGCTTAGATGTAATCTATTATATGCTGTTAATGGTTCTGAACTTCTGATGCTGCTTGAGGGAAATTTATATATGTTGCTTCTGCTGTTCAGTGGGCGATAACTCTATCTAGCCCCCAGCACGGGGTAAGACTCAAGTGTTGAACTCTCTAAACACCGGGGATAGAAAAATGAGTCCCTTACCATCTGACCCTCTTGCAAAAGCTTTTGTTTACATAGACTCGGTATAATAAGGGCATGCACCTCCCAGTTGATACACTTCTGTTATCATTGCTGTTTGTTGGAGAGAATGGATGGGTTGGCTGTAGATGAAAATTCTTTTGGTGCAAAGTTCAGTTCTCAGCCCCCACATTTTTCTGTTGAGAGTTGAAGGGCAAAGCTTTGTTGGACGATGGTAAATGTTTCTGTGTGGTGTGCTCTGAGTTCTAGGGTTCTAACCAGCTTGATGCTGCTTTGTAGATTCACACCACCAGTCAGTCTTCACCAATGCAGGCATATAACCTAGCCATCAATGATCTTGACAAGGAGCTTGACCACTTGAGATCTGCGTTTGAGGTATGGAATATTGCTGCCACTTTCTTGATTTGAGAGGCTTTTATGTCATGAAAAATTGAACAGTAAGTAGTAAGCAAAGAAAAGGCCTGTGTAGTAAGTAGTAAGCAAAGAAAAGGCATTCATTGATCTCGAGTTTTTCTTTTGTTTCTCTCTTTAATTCTGTTTGTAGGATGAGATCGCCAACTATTCAAGTACTAGGGAGTACTGAGGGAGCCAGAGATGAAGATTTGCAGCTAGACTATAACTGAATGTTGCTAGAGCAAAACTTGTAAAAGATCTCCCAGGACACTGGATGTATTTTGTACGTTAAGCAGCTTGTGCGGAGTAAAGACTGGAACTTAGAATCTCGTGAGGCAGCTCTGATGATGTTTACGGTGCATAGGACCTTCATCGGTACTGCCCTGGTTGATCTGTTTTCAGTTCCATGTTTTCGTCGATCCTTTAATTTCTGAATTTGGTAATCAACTGGAATGCTTGAATGGAACACATGTAGTTGTGATGTTTCTCCATGGAGTATGCTTGAGCTCTTGTATTTAACTGATGCTTTGCTACCCTGTCCACATATGCCAGTGGATCTCTGTCATCTTTGATATGTTCTCTAAAGCTCCAAAACTCTGTCAACTAGGATACCATGTAGCAATACAGCACACCTGCTGTCGATACTCACGAAGTCACAAACTCATGTGTCATTCTTTAGCTAGTACAATTTGGGAAAGAACTCTTCAAAATCTAGGTGAAAGGATGACACAGTTTTCTGTCGAGTATATACCTCACAGTTTTGCATATCTGAAACCGCGGCCGTCCAACAAATCGGCAACAGTTACTGCCTGTAACGAAGTTGCAACCTTTTTAACCATGTTCCACTCGGTCATTGGCCCCTCTATCTCCCTAAGCCTTTCCAAATTTTGGTCCCTATCCTTGTTATCTGGAGCCTAAAATCAGTCATCTACCAGTGTTGTCAGATCTTGCTTAGGTGTAAGGATTTATGATAAGATGGGGTCTACACAAGCCTTGAGAGAATTTGTTGATGTTGAAGATGTTACCGAACACAAGGTATTCAAAGGTGTTAATGAGAGGATACTTTGTTCAAAAATCTTAGTTTAACCATGTTCAATCGTTTCATACCCCGCTGAAACCGCCTACTGATTTGGGGTCCGGTACCTGCTAATCCCGATCTGACTGGGCGGTAAGGTATGGTTTCTAAAACATTGGTCCCCATACCCGCTGAAATCGCCTACCGATTTGGGGTCCGGTACCTGCTAATCCCGATCTGACTGGGCGGTAAGGTATGGTTTCTAAAACATTGGTCCCCAGGCGAATTTGTTAACGATATCCGCAAGTCTGGACCGCTCAGAAAGTTGCTAAAGATGCAAAGTAACTAATGAATGATACGATGGACTAATCCGCTTGTATATTTATGAGATAAAATTATTTATTAATTTTTTTGACTCATCCAAAATTAGGTCAGTTTTTTTAACAAATTAATGAATTATAATTTCTAATTTTGTTCCTCTTTTTCACAAACTTTTATCCTTGAAACTTGCTATCATCCTTATAAGTTATCTTATAATGGAAATTTTACCCTGCAATAAACTATGCGGAGAACATTCATTGAAATTGAATGAGTATGCGAATCATAAATGATATTTTGTAAGATGAATGGAAAGTGATTCCCTAAATAGTTTGAAATTAATTATGTTTTACAAATTTTCTCCTAACATGAGTAATAAAAATTATCTTATCCATGGTTCGTCAGTGGCATTGTAGACCGGTTGAACCAGTGTCGGTCACGAAACTGGTTGGAATACTGTCGATATGATGCGGCGGTCAATGCCGGTCAAAACCTGAAATCCCGGGCGGTTCAACCGACATCCAGTTTTCGGTCTCTACGTCTTAATTCTACGCAATATATAATAGCCGAAAGGGGAAAACTGTTGCTCTATTTCAAATTTCATGCAACGAGAGTGAAAGTAGAAAAGATATTTTGGTCTTCACAATTACTTTTTTTTATTCATAAAAAAGGCACGTGAAAGTAGGAAAGACATTTTGGTCTTCACAATTACTTTTTTTATTCATAAAAAAGGCACGTAATGGGATTCGAACCATAACCACTTTAAAGAAAATCAATGATCATAACCAATCACACTAATGAGATTTGGATGTTGTATTTTGTCTCCAAATACAAACCATCATATTTTTTGTCCAAAGCCATTGTTTGTTAAGGTAGGCAAATCCGTGGGGCCCACGGATTTGGACACTTTTTTTAGTTCCAAATTCGTGGACCCCACGTATTTGTAAATACCACATTTCATTTGGTATTTGCAAATACCACATTATGGAAGGCAAATTTTTGAGAACCAAATACCAAATGACTAAATCCATGATAAAAATTCAACTAAACAAACAATGTTATCTTTCAAATACAAAATGAAACAAATCCATCATAAATCCAAAGTTTTTCAAAACTCAAAACCTTCATTTTCAAATCCAACAAGCAAAACCGTACCATACCGGCGGTTCGATCAGAAAAATCTTATACCGATAGTAAAACCGATAAGCGATATTTAAGGATATGAAATGGTTGAACCACGATTAAATCACGATTTCAACAGAAAATGCTATATACTAGTTAGAATGTGAAAGGACAAAAATTGAGGGGAAGATTTCTCGCCACTAGGAATGGCAATGGGGCAGGTCCGGGGAGGGTTTCTCGATACCCATACCCGCCCCATAGCAGGTCGTGTCTCAGTGCACTGATACGAAGCCCGCCATGGGCATCTCCGAGCCGATTCAATTACCACTAAGTCCGCCTTCAACGGACCTCCTCGAAGTTGCAAGAAGACGGACCGTTTCGCGATCAGCTCCGCTCCACAAGCAAAAACCCATCGTGCCCTCAAGCTCCACAAGCAAGAATGCTGACTGGTACTCAGAAGGCGGACGTTATGCATCCTTTTCGTAGTGCCCACTATACCCATTGAAGTAGAAACCTGATTCTACTTCCCAGTAGGTGCAACGTTGATATTACTAGGCTCTCTCCTTCATCGCTCAGCTAGACCGGTGGGAGGACAAGAAACATAAAAATAAAGGGAACGCTTCCCACAACCGGCATTCTGGCTTCCATATTGAGGGAACCAGCTAGCACACTACAAGACGGCGTGGCGAGCCAAAACGCGAGTCCAAAACTCTGCCGCCTCCAGGCGATGTCCCCTCTCGTCAATGCTTCCCGCTCCCAAGCTGTACACTTCTCTCGAAATGATTCCCGCTTCCTGACGTGGAATGTTCCCGCCTATGAGCAACGCTCCCGCTCGAGAAATGCTTTCCGCTTCTTTGCGATGCTCCCTCAGTGGAACGAATCACCCCTTCTGCCTCCAGGCCAAGCTAAAAACTCACACTCAGCTTCTAGCCTCCGAGAGAAGCTACGAAGTAAAAGCGCTTTCCCGAAAGCCAGAATACCAAAACGCTTCCTAACGAGCCAAAGAATAAAGCGCTTCTCAAAGAAGCCGAAAGACTAAGGAAAAGGAGAGTCCTAACAGGCTCAAGGGCACCACGGATCAAACTTGTTTCACTCCTGTTAAGTCCAACGCAATCCCAACCCAGGGCATCACTCAACGCAACCCACTTTGCCACCTCGACCGATCGGAAGATCCGCTTTTAACAGAATCGCTCGTCGTACACACAACCTCCAAAGTAGGGTCGGACATGGTAAAATCCCGCTTAACGGCCCACAAAGTAAATCACCCAACCGCGCATCCTGCCCAGCATCATGCATCGGCTGGTGGCAAAGCGCCTCCCAATAAAGAAGCGCCTCTTAGCAGGCTTGAATGTGGTGAGTCTTCCACAGGATGAAAGACTAACACACTCCTCCTAAAAGAGCTTCCTAAGAAGCCGAAAGACTAAAGCGCTTCTCAGAAAGAAGAAGGACCAAAATTCCCAAAGAGCTAGAAGGAAGAACCCCCCAAGCAGGCAGGAACACCGAACACCTCCTGACAGGGACAACTTTGGCAAGAACGAGAAACTCGATCACGCCGTTAGTAAGACACAAGAGCGTTTAAAGCTAAATCTCTTTCCCCGCTTTGCCACAAACCCTAGTCTCTGTCCAAATTCAAAGACCGCCTTAGCTGGCCTGGCCTCCTGGACAATCATCGTGAGATGGCTTCAATAAGGCCGCCTCACAAGACACTCCCATGTGCAATTATCGTCTCGACACACTGCATCTGACCCATAACCGCCTCTGACGGTCAGCGAAAGCAGTTAGCTCGCTTCACACCCAAACCGATCCACCAACAGCGGTCCGCTTCACACATCCGGAATACTCACCCCTACATTGAACCGCGGCTTCAGCAATTCACATCCCGCGTCCCACGAAAGATCCAGACCGCCCATCAGTAGGCTACAAGACCGCTTTATGCGACTACATCCCTTATCCTTCGCACGTGGGCCGCATCCTAGTCCGCAAATAGGCTGACTCGCACATCAGTTCTCAAAACTCGTCATCAGGCAAAGCATCAAGGCCCGCTCCGCAATCAATTTCTTAAAACAGTCCTGCTCCGACCGCCTCCAGACAACCGCTCCGCAACAAAGACTATTTCCTAATTCACGAGCCCATGCCCATTCTACCACGTTCTTCCTTCAACGCATCGCCTCCCCAGCAAAGCGAAGACCACAGATTCCAGTAACCGTCGTGCTATGTCACCCCACACCGGTTTAGTGATAGGACCTGATCCCTCGAAGCCCATACAACGAAAGTAGCAACACCAACTTTCCATCAACTGACAGCACTCTGCCTCATCACCAATTATCCAGTCCAGCTCACCCTCTACCTCTCATATAAGCACCGGCTACTCCTCATTTACAGCTGAAGCGCATCAGGTCTTCAAAGACCGTCCAAGAAGTTTGCACTCTCCATACAAACCTTAGATGTATGCGAGGCCTGCCTCCCGACTCATTTTGACGTCCATACAAGCCGAAGATGTAATGCCTCTCGACAGATAAGGAAGAAACGCCTCCCGGTAGGCTAAGGGCAAAAAGCCCCCAGTAAGCTAGAAGAAGACTCTCGGGAAGGGTGCATATCACACAAGTGCATTTTCAAGAGAAAGCGCGACCCAATATTTGTGTCAGGAATTGCAACCTGCTCCACAAACGCGGCTTCCCCCCGCCAATGAAGCCCATGTAGAAGTCCATGGAGTAGACACAACATAACCTTCCCCAAGTTGGTAACGTGGCACACCCCACATCTAGCAAATCACAAAATGATCCATTGACGTTAACCTAGGCGCTATCCGCAACATGTTATGTTATATTTACACTGTAAAACATCAGGCAATTACCGTTCGCATCTTTCTCGGACTGCTCAACGACTCACTCCCTATAAGACACGCTTCTCGCCTCTGAGCGATGAACTCTCTAGAAAAAGATCCGCCCCTTCCGCCTCAGGGAAAGCCCTCAAAAACGCCTACGAGCGATGCTCCCTCTGGGAACGATACATGCTTTACACCTCCGGGCAAGGCCTCAAAACCGCCTTCGAGCAATGCTCCCATCAGGGAATGATTTCCGCCTCCGAGCGACGCTCCCTCTAGGAATGATCCAATGCTTTCTGCATCCTGGCGAGGCACAAAAACCGCCTCCGAGCTATGCTTGCTTCGTGGATTTATTCCCACCTCCGCATGAGGATCCCTTCGGGGAATGATTTCCCCCTCCGAGCGACGACACCTCCGGGTATGATTTAACGCCTTCCGCCTCCTGGCAAGGCTCCAAAGCCGCCTCCGCGCGCTGCTCCCTCTCGGGGACGCTTCCTGCCTCTGAGTAATGCATTAATGGGTAATGACCAAAACACTTAGGCAAAGCAGTCAAAATCGGGATTTTGATCGTAAAATCGTAGGATTTTAGGATTTTACTTAGGGATTCCGATCCTGATTTTACTATAAAATCGGTGGACCTTGAAATCTTTTAAAATCGGGATTAAAATCCTTAAAACCGTAAAATCCTACTAAAATCGGGATTAAAATCGTATGCGAACAAAATAGGTTGTTTGAACAAATTTAAAAAAAGCAGAACTGATTTGGCATAAAGGGCAATAATGGGGATCTTCTCAAATATTTTTCCTATTAAAAAACATTTGAAAAGAAAAAAAAACCAAATTATGGCTCGGTCATTCTCTTTCCCTTCATCCCGCTGAACTCATCGGCGAAATAGTTTTCCTAATATTTTACGTGCGAAAGAATTAATATAATTATTAACTCATTAATTGATTAGTGAATACATTTTCGCCAAGCCACTAGCATTAATTATTCAATTGGAGTTCATATATTATTAGTTTTAAATCATGATTAACTATTCAATTGGAGTTCATATATTATTAGTTTTAAATCATGATTAATGGACAATGTTGAAATTAACATGACCAGAGTACTACTTTGAGTTAAACTACCTAAACACAACAAGAGCCAAGCTCCATGAGCTCTATCATTTCCTCGTGAATTATTTTAGTTACGCATTAAATAACAATTAAAATGATGGTATTGGAACATTAATCTTGAGAATTATCATTTTCAATGTTATGTGTCTTTGTGTTAGTAATGGTTTACCTTATTAATATGATTATATGTTAGTTTCTACATGGAACTTAAAATCCTACGATTTTACGATTCGATTTTACGATTTCGATTTTACCCCAGTTTTCGATTTTAGGTAAAACCCCGATTTTGACTGCTTTGCACTTAGGCGCTTCCCAGACAGCCGAAGGACTAATGAGCTTCCTAAGAAGCCTAAGACTAACATGTCTCTTACAGGCAAATACTCTTGCCACGAGAATATTCCACCTCCAGGTGAAGCTCCCCTCGCGCGAATGCCTCTTCCATGAAGGTGAAGCCCAATCTCACTTCTTCCAGGCTAGTCAGCATTATAGAAATTGCCTTCTGCAGGGTGTTAAAGAATAACGGAATGATCCTTGTGCCCGAAACCGCACCATGGACACTAGGGCATCAGTGGTGTACCCATAAGCCAATGGTCAGGCTGAAACATCTAACAAAGACAGAACAAACGTCCCCGCGACGACAAAGAGGTATGGATGAGTGAATTCCCGCACGCCCTACGATAGTTCAAAACACAAGCTCATGCTCATCTCGCGGTCCAACAGCTTAACGCATACAGCTCACAGTTACGGCCTACATATTATCACGCTTGGCAATGGGAAAAACTCTCTTCGCCCTAACATCCGACGCCGAAACAATCTCCCCAGAGGAAATAAACTTACCCTCCCTCTATGTTCAAGTATACAACTCGGAGGAAAACAACAAGCAGTTACTAGGACAACTGGACATGGTAAAATCGCGGCACAACGCGGCCATGAAACGATCGTTAACGGAAAAACAAAAGTAACTATCTCCTACACCAGAAGATGAAAGCGCGACCAAACTTGCCGCCACCTGGGGGTCCCATCCTTCACCAAAGGCAAAGTGGGTCCCAGCACCTCTCGCCGAACAATCATGGAAGGCACCCCAGCCTCCAAAAGACATGGGATGATGTGCACTTAAAAAAGTACCTCTCGTCCACTACCAAGTAATCGCTTTTGCTAAGCAAATTCACTTTCACTTTTTCGGCCAATACCGCCGCTAACAAGCAACCGCAGCAGTTCACGGAATCACACTTTCCGATTGAACGACAGGTCCAGACTCTTATCATTTCGATCATTCATAACACGATCCACATGACACGCAACGATCTTGCACTCACTACTGTGCCGAACAAGTCACTCAGTGCACGAAATGAGAGATAGCATAAACCTGCTCCAACGCGGTCATTCAAAATTGTTCACATGCATAGCGTGCCCAACGCTTCCAAAATACCGCTGCTCAAACAGTCACGGTTACATAACGAAAAAAGAGGAAGCAAAATGTCTTAAATATTCGGAGAACCCTCGCTACCATCGCCTTCACCCTGGACGGCTGCCCTATCTTCCACTTCATCCTCCTCGTCCTTCTCAGAGTTCACATCTGTGTCAGCCCAAGAACCAATTGCATCCCAGATGCGGTCAGAGTTCCAATTCACTTCAGGCTGATCACGACGAAAGAAGTGTCGAATGGCGGCCACAGTGGTTCCCACAATGTCCTTGTACTTCTCATTGTCTAAGGCGAGGAACTCAGCTGACTTCAGATAAGCTGGTCCAGCCTCAACTTGGCCCGCGTCCAACTCTGCCTCGCGGCTACTCTGCAAGGCCACCTTGTCAAGCTTGAGGGACTCTACCTCCTTGCGGAGCGCCTCCTGTTCCTCCAGTAATGCTCGTTCCAACTCTTCCGACCTCCGCGCCTTCTCTTGGAGCTGATCCTGCTCATCCTGAGCCACCTTAACCGCTTCCTTCTCCGCCAGCAAGTCACGCTCCTTCTGCGCCAGCCGCTCTTCTAAGTCCTGCGCCACCAGTGGCCGCACTTCCCCCATCAGCTTCTCTCATCCCTCGCTCAAACTCTTCTTGAGCCTGGCGATCTCGACCGCGTTGTCATCAAAAGTCTTGGACAAACGGTCATTGAGCATGATGACTTGGGAGAAACCAATTTGGGCTTAGCAGAACAACACCCAATAAAAATCGCGAACAATGTTCAAAGAAAAAAAGTCTAACACACAGGCACTTACCGAAAAAAAGAACTAGGCAACGGTCCTCGCAAGGCGCCTGTTGTCGCCATGCGAAGAGGCAGTGTACTCCGGGGGCACAGTCAACTAGTCACTAATGGTGTGAAATGCGAGCTCAAAAGCTTCTCCATCAGTGGCAGCTCGCTGTGACAGGTCGATGCCATCTACCTCGTCAGTTTGCTTCACACCCTTGGCGCGGTTACCCACGGTCTTCGCCCGCTTGGAGGTCGCAGTAGGAACCACGTGTTCCAAAGGACTCTTGCTCCCACCTCGAGTCACCACACCGGAACAACCCGCAGCTTGCGGATCCTGCTTAATCAGCACCACGGAAGGAGCACATCCCCCAGCCCTGGTCGACAAAGGCACGCTTTGCGCCCCATCAGCCTTCGCGACCGTCTTCTTCCTCTTCTTCGACCTATTCGCATCGGCCAATGCTCGCAAACCTGGAAAGACCAGACATAAGTAAAAACACATGAGAAGAGGGCGGGATACAGACCAAGGGAAATGCTACTAACCATAAAAATCACGGACAAGCCGATACACGTTCCCATAATCGTTAGAGAATTCACGTAGCTGAATCCCTTCAACGATGTTGTCTACATGGTCCCTCACAGACTGCTTAAACTGGTTCGTGGAACACCAGTCATCCTTTAACCCTATAGCATACCCCGTCAGAGGAGCGGTCTCTCCCGAATACCACTTCCAGGAAGGCCTCGCGAAGATATACTCCTTGAACCAGGGTGAGTCCAGCTTCGGCGACCCTGTAATAAAGCCAACCGCAGTCTCCCGCCGCCCAATAGACCAACAATTGGTCGAGTTCTGGATATTGTAAATCATCCAAAAAGCGTCAAAAGAGGGAGTCTCCTTAAGGCAGTCACACGCATAGTGGTACGTCACAGAGTGAAAACGAAAACGGAGATAACCGTCCAAGGGTACATTGAAGACAATTCAGAGCCCTAGTGAGAATAGGATCGAGAGGAAACCACATCCCCAACTTCATGTGCTCCACGTGAATGGGAATCCAGCCGCGCGGGCACGATCCAGATCTGCTCGCCTCAGAGGGAGCCGCGTACTGCCACTCAGGGGCACACAGATGTTCGAACAAGAACAAAGGTCAGAGAAGAAAGCAAGTAGCACCCTACAAAATATGAACCAAGCTAAGACGACGGGTTACCTGGAGATTTCCCGATTGGCCGGGTTTTATAGAGATCGGCAGCGGATGGCCCTGAACTCTTCACAGAAAAAGGAAAGGGGAAGCAGAGGAACCCTTTCTGAAAGAAGAAGCAATAATAGCGTGGGAAATCTCCCCCAAATCCCATTTAAAGCGAATCCGGAAAATCGAAGCGTCAGAAGTGACATTCGCAAATTACGAAGTACAAAACCCCCAGAGCTGACGCTTCGCTTGTCAGGGATCCACTCCCGAGATACGACACGTGGCGCTATGAAAAGAAAGGGGCAGAACGCGTCGCGCCCTAAAACACGCATTGCCTCCTGAAAACACCCCCTAGGCATTCACGCGCCAACCCTTCATGGCCAGGGGCAGGCAGGTAACCATGGGCCGCACGACCTGGGACCGCTTGGTAACAAGATAGCCGCGAAAACCTAACGCTCTCACGCCTTAGAGGCAAATGTTGGGCCAAGTATTGGAATACGTGGGCCCTAAGGCCCATGGTTACAAAGCCACAAACAAACGGGCTAGACCTACCAACAAAACAAACCCGATAACCCCGAGGCGGTCTCTCGCTCCCCGAAGACCGCCCGACAAAGTCTGAATGACAGAGGTCGGCAGACTGCCCGACAGGTCTGGACGACAGAGATCTGCAAGGATATCTCCTGACCATGCTTTTAATAAGGCCGAAGGCATCCTCACACGCTTGACAAGCAATTTAATGCACACACCTCAGTCAAAGCTAGTATAAATACCCCTCTAAGGGCAACATTTATGGTAACTTCTACCTACTCCACTCTCTCTCTCATTGACTACTCATTCACTTCTCTCTCTAACTTTGGCATCGGAGGAGGTCCCAGAATTAGGCCTGTCAATTCGGTTTCGGGTTTTCGGTTTAACCCGAACCCGAACCGATATATTACAGTGTCGGTTTCGGTTTTTTCGGGTTCAACCCGACACACACTGCAGCGGTTTTGGTTTACCAAAACCCGCAAAACCGAAAAACCCGCAAAACCCGATAGCATCAGTCAGCACACGCAGTCGTTTTGTTTTTTGATAGCAAGTAGCAACCCTACCCGCCCTTCAGCCCTTCACCTCGTGCCGTCGCCGTCTCTTTTGCTTGGTTCCATTCCACCTCGTGCCGAAACAGAGCGAGACAAAGTAGAGCCTCCTCGCCGCGCCGCCATCATCGTCCTCGCCGCCAGGCTGCCATCAAATTCGTCGTCGGCCGCCATCATCGTCCTCGCCGCCAGACTGCCATCAAATCCGTCGCCTCGCCGCCAAACTGCCATCAAATCCTTCCCCTGTTATTCTGTTCCTCGTCGGCCGCATCTGGGTAACACAAAATAGAGATGGAATCCCAGTAAGCTTCTGCTTTTGATTGCTACTCTCTACCCAGTTGCTACTTTCTGGTCAATTGGAATGGTCAATTTGTTTTATGTTTGTGCATCTCTGTGGAATTGGTGGGTCGTGGAAAGAGAATGATTTTCCAAACGGAGAAGTTGCATAGGGTCGTGCGTCGAATCGATTTGCTTCTTTGTTTGGTTCAGGAGGAAGCTTGGAGAGGCAAAAGGATCCAATTGTGAGTAGTGGTTGTGTTGTTGTTGTTGTTTAGTGTCGTGGGTGGATTCGACTTGGTTTTATGTTTGGTTGCTGAGAAAGTTTGGAGATGGGAAATGGTTGAATTGTAAGTGAGGGTGGTGGTGGGGGAAGGAAGAAGGGAAGTAATTTGTTGAGGTTTGATGGTGGGATTGATCAATTTGTGGTGGAATTAAGAACAAAAGCTGCAACCGTCGACGATTATTGATTCCCATCTCGAGCTTTTCTCCGTCGGGTTCTGCATGCGCCAAACTACACCGCTGATCTATCTCCTCCAATCTCCCTCAGACTCCGCCACTTTCTTTTCTTGCTTCACCGCTTCCTCTTCTTCGTTCTCTCTCGAGACTATGTTGGCGGAGGCGGCAAGTTCGTGAGTAGCTCTACTGGCGGAGGTGAGGTTGACGATGAAGGGGCAGGGGCAGCTCTGTTCGGAAAAATTCAAGGACGGGAAGGGGCAGCTCTGTTGGTGGGAGTTTTTGGTGCAAGTGAGAGAGAAAGGGAGGAATTGAGGGCTTTTTGATGGGCATGGGGGAGTTCATGTTCTGTGAGTGAGAGAGAAAGGGGGAGAAGAGAAGAAGACTAACTATGCTTCTGCCTTTGATTACATTTTAAACCATGCTTTTTGGTGGATTGCGTCTCTTTTTTACTGTATGTTCATGACCGCTTTGAGTAAAGACAAAAATAAAAATACCAAGAATCTCAGGGGTGACATCTGGTTTATCTAGAGGAATCTAGAATAATCTCCTGGTAATTCAAAAGCACATATTGGTCCACAGTAAGCATATGACTTTTATACATGGATTTTTTCCATATAAACAACTAGAACTAGATATTGATTGAACTTCAGATCATTAGGCACGACATGGTACATACTGTCCTTTTTATTCAGGATAGGTTTGTTTGGTCGTTTTTTCTTATGTTAGAGAGTCTGTGACTGTGATCAGGTAGTGATCATGGACACACCCCAGGAATTAATGTCACCCTCATAACACTCAACTTTTCATTTTGACAGGGGAAGTGAGGCACCATCAGCTTCTCGTCCTAGACGTGGAGGACGCTCTAAGAGTACCAGCATTCCTGCTCCTGTACCATCTTCTGCACCGTCTTCCGATCCTGCTCCTGCTCCTGCACCGTCTACCGGAACCACCAATGTACCTCCTGCTCAAACAATAGACGAGGAGACAATTTCAAGAAAAAGGAAAGAAAAGTCTGACGTTTGGCCACACTTCAAGCGTTTTAAGCAGGATGGGTTGGACAAAGCAAGATGCATTTATTGCAATGGTGTTATTATGGATCCCACTAAATATGGGACTTCTACTCTGCGGAATCATAAAGATAGTTGTTTGGAAAAGATACAAAAGGGTGAGCTGATAGTCGACCATCTATCATCTTCTGGAGGCCAGGTACACACTCTTGGGACTTGGAAATTCGATCAGATTGATGCTAGGAGAGCTTTAGCGGAGATGATTATCATAGATGAATTACCATTTAGGTATGTTGAACATGAAGGGTTCAAACGGTTTATGGCTCGTGTTTGTACAATGTTTGTGTTACCTAGCCGTCAGACCGTTAGAGAGGATTGTATCAAGGTGTTCTTTGAAAATAAAGAGTTGCTGAAGGACTATTTCAAGACTAAGTGTTTAGGGATGGTATCGCTCACCACTGATACTTGGACTTCTTTATCCAATCTCAATTATACGTGCATTACTGCTCATTTCATTGGTAGAGATTGGAAATTGCATAAAAGAATTATTAACTTTGGCCAAGTTACAAAACATTCTGGAAGTGAAATTGGAAAACAGTTGGCTAGTTGTTTGGTGGAGTGGGGCATTAGGAAGGTGTTTTGTATAACAATGGACAATGCTAGTGTCAATGATGTGGTTGCTATCCATATGAATGAACAGTTGAAAGAGTGGGGATCAGATATTTTGGATGGAAAATATCTGCAGATGAGGTGTGTGGCTCACATTATTAATTTGGCTGTGAAGGATGGGCTTAAAGAAACTGGTAACTCTGTGGAGCGAGTGAGAGAGTCTGTGAAGTG